TAATGTATATACGAAACTGTGTTAATCTCTACTATTTTCATAGAACGACAGGGAAACCAGTTAATTTGATTTTTTGCGTAGAAACTAGAAATAATTTATGGTCCGGAGAAACATAAAGCTGTTTATATAGTTACTTATTCTTGTCCCGGTACTAATACTATATCATTATCATTAATATGGTTAAAATAAAGAAGTAACAGATTGCCACATTGGAACACGACTTCTTATTTAAAATTAGTAATGAATGAAAATCGTGAGCGGACATCGTGTTCGTGTTTACTTTAGATGCTGTCAACGACTTAGATCACTATTCTTCATATTATATTTTTATTATTAAGTATAATATTTAAAAAAAAAACTCGAAATCTTAGAAAAAAGTTTTGCTATATCGCTTTATTATTTCTGTTGAATTTATTATTGTTTTTTATGATAGGTATGTGAAATCTGAACCTTACTAGAAATAAACAAATTAAAGTTTTTATTGCCATAACAGATATGTTTTTACACGAAAAGTTACACGTACTACTCACTTGGTTTTGTTTTGTCAATAGTGCGGGTAAGCGCTAATTAAATTCATATAACATGTGGGTCAATGTGCACAGCATTTTCTACCTATTATTATTGTTGAGTTGGTACTACAATTCTCTTAATGAATTATGTATTATGATATTCTAAACCATTTTGTTTTCTAATTATAAGTAGCAAGATTTTTACAATAATAGTACAACATACAACTTAAAGTTGACATTTATTTGCAAATCAAAATCAAAGATATTTATACACGTCCCATATATTGTACTTAATATACTTATACCAGTTGAAAAGAAATCATCTCTAATTTCTAAACTTATTTAAGCTGTCTAACCAACAAGTACAATCTAATTTGAAATTAAAAATAGAATTCAATAAAATATTTTCTACGTCATAGTAAACTTCTTGCTAGAGTATGTAAACTAAAAACTAGTCTTAAGACAAGGACCTCCAGGAGTATAAAGCAACGTCACCAAGACGTAGCGAACTTACAGGTAAATAAACCCGGTATCCCTCGATCCTCCGTCAGCTAAGCTTCATAACACACACTTTGAGCACTATCGTCACTTGAGCACTTATCAACAAACACTGTTGCAACAAATTTCACACATATTTTCGTAATTCGGCGCAATACGTACGGCTGAGCGCAGGCGCGGGCGAATGAAAGACTGGTTGTGTTGAGGTTGCGCGAGCGCAACGCATTCCAACACTGGTAAAGTTACTATATCTATCCCTTTCTAATACGATCAACTTGCGAATATTAGAGAGAGATAAAACATACGTCGCTATAGGTAGGTAGCCCCGTTATTCATACACACTACAGGTATAATGTTATGACGGTCATTGAAAACTATAGTTTAATATTCGCCAATCGATTGAGTCAAAATTATGGAATGCCGCTGTTGTTGGGAATGTCTGAAATCTGATTTATTGAGACGATACTGAGTGTTGGTTTATTGCGTTAATCTCATCGTGAGTATTTTTACTATCGTCTACTATTTACTACATGGGCATAAAGCACTTTCCCCGCGTACGCTTTTAATAATATGTATAAAAAATTAGGATTGTGTAGTGGTTTTGTTATCTGAGTGTTAAATTTGAGCAGATAGTATTTAGATATCAATGTTTATAAGTAAAATATTTTACATATTTGCATTAAATTATTACAATTTTTTACTGAACGTCATGAGTCTACTACCAGTTCGGAAAGAAGAAGCCTCAGACCTGAGAAGAACTGGCGAAAGAAACTCAGCGGGACCAGTGTTAAATTATCATCTTTTTTTGTATTAAATATTTCAATATGTGGATCAGCGGTTCGACATCATTTAAATACATATTGATATTTGATAAATATTGATGTACCTATTACGAATTAGGTTAAGAACAAATATGTACCTACATGGTTTGGTTCTTCGGCTGCGGATCGACGTGATTTAAGTTATTTCCATTTGCTATATCCAATTGTCTGTAATAATTAACCATTTTGTGTTATTTTAAATTTTAATACATTTTTAAGAAAGTTTGTGAAGGAAGTATAGAATGAGTTTGAGCTTTTTTTGTAATTATGAAGTTTATGATTTTTTCCTAAAAATAGTTACTGCGAGTGTATCTAAGGATATCGATATATTATGCTCACACGGACTTTTCTGTAGGTCTTTTGAATACCTTCAATTTTCTAGTACATTGTTTTGATGTATCTCTAAATGTTTAGTTACCGTTTAGCCATGTTGTCGTACGAAAACAATTTTTTTGACAAACACCGTCTAGGCTCAGCCATTTCGTACAAAATATTTACAAATTATATACACAAACCTTCCTCGTTCATCGTTTTTTCTATCAGTGAAAACCGTATTAAAATCTGTTGCGTGGCTTCTAAGCCAGCTTCTCCTAAGAAATAAGCGAAGAAACAGACAGACGCAGAAAGCGACTTAGTTTTATACTATGTATAGAAGTCTGAATAATGTGACACATAAAATGCTAGCTAAAGTCGAAAAAATATTTACCGCGCGCTTAATTCACGATTTTGTCGATCGAAGTGATCATTTCGAAGCAAAAGCCAAAAAAAGTAAGAAAAATTAATTACATATTTAAAAAGGCTTAAAAAATCATTCTTGTAAAATGTCGCGCGTGACCGTGTCGACATAACGACTGTATAGTGTACATGTACTTACATAATATAGGTATTACTTGGCCAATGGCCATTGCTGTGAAAATTTAACAAAAAACATAACTATATTTAATATATGTAATATGTACATAATATTATGAAGTTAATATTTTAAAATTAGATATCTATACATTTGACCAGTGCTGGAACTTGTTGTTCTTGGTCTATGCGCTGGATTTATATATTTTACACTAGGGGCACTCGGGGCTAGTGCCCAGGCCAACAAATTTTTAAGGGGCGGCAAAATTCGGAGAGTGGGAAACAATTATCTTCGCGTTATCGAAAACGCTTTCTTAAAAAAATAAGTAGTACATTTTTCGAAAACTTGAAAACATTTTTTTTTTGCATTTTTCAAAAAAATAACACATACCTAATTAAAAAAAAACTTTGTGAAAACTTTACCCATTTTATGCAAAATTGCGATAATAGGGCGGCATTTTTTTTACGCCCAGGCACAGTAATGTTACATATAACATTACCGTGACCCAGGGGCGGCGTTAATGTTGAATCCGGCCCTGCATTTGCCACAGTCAAACATCTTTGGGTTCATTTTTGAGCAATGGTCTAACTAAACAGTACTACAACCGTCTAATCCATACATCAGGTATTCTTATATTATTCAAATCAGCAGCAATTTACTAAATTCTGAAAGAAAATACCGAAAGAATGGTTGAAATCACCGTAGATACAAAACAAGGTAGTGCTAAGTCGACGTGGCGCGCGTGTGACATGTCATTATCAGGCATCACAAATTCAAAATATGAATTATTTGTTCAATGTCGATTTAAAATCAAATTTATTGCATTAGTATAAGGTATATTTCGTTGGACGTATTTAGTATTTTTCAGTAGTGTAGTCATATCGGGAGACTGATTTTATCGATGTAATATTTTTAATAATTAATCAGTGATTGGAATGTATAGCCGTAATTTACTAAAATTGGATGGATAATACCACAATGTGGTAAGGTAGTGTGGTAAAACTATATAAATTAAAATATGTTTAACGTTGAAATTTATTTCTTGGTATACATATGAAAATGTACATATTATTGAATTAAAATCGGGCGGCAAGTCTTAGTTTACGCACTAATTTAAAAAACTGCTTTTTACATTAATCGAGTAAGTATATTAGAATAATAGTCTACAATATTTTTAACTTTTCCTATATTTTTAAATTAAATAATATAACCGATATTTATCGATATCGATAATGTAATAGATTTCAATTTGTTATATCATTTTCAGGGTAATGGTATGTATCATTCCAGGATGGAATGTCAATCTTATATGTAACCAAATTATTATTAATGTAATATTGGCGATAATCTCGATGCTGTATGGATTCGCCTCGCCATCTCTGGACAAGAAGCGGAATTAACATGTTAGAATATAAAATGTCATAATGACGTACAGAATAGGTAGGCCAATCAAAAATGTGATGTCCCGATAGAAAAAGAGAAAGAATAACCAGACCACTTTCTATCTCTTTTAATATTGAGCATGGGCAGTTAATAGTATGGAGGTCTTGTATGGGGGATTAGTTGAAAAAGTGTCCACTTGTAAACAGCAAATTATTGTTCGAACACTCACCGAAATAGCGCTAGTGTAGGAAATGATATGAATTTAGCAGTTATAAACAGAGTGAAGTGTGCTGGGTTGAAAATTTACTTGTTACAATTTTAATGTTTTTTTTTTTAATTTCGGTAATTAATTAATACTATTTTCTATTAGATATTTACAAATAATAATTGGGCTACTTAAAAATACTATATAATTTTATTCCATAGGTATTCATATTTGTATATTATAAAGATTTAAAAAAATGCGCCGTAACAAAGCGGAAATTATTCTTTCCTTTTTTAATTTAGTATCCTACTCTAATAATTTGTGGCGCTCCTTTTAAAATTCTTTCACTTGCTACTATAGCGCCAGCTCAATTTGCTTCTTTTCAACGGACACTTTTTAATACACTGAGATGGTACTCCTTACTTCTAGCCTCCATACTGTCAACTTGTCAACTTACAACTCACAAATGTCAGTGTCAATATACTTTTATTTGTCAATTGTCATCCATGTTATTTACTGTGATTGTTTATTCGAAACAATATTTGAATTAGAAAATTTATTATATCACGCACATTTGCCTATCTTGCGATTTATTTTAACCTGTACGCTTCACTTCACTTAAGTATGCTTAAATTACGCATTGTATATTGTTTATAATAGGAATACACTCTTGTTTGAATAATAATAAAACTAAAATTTAATGTGCTATCTTACAGTAACGAGCGGCTGAAGTCATGCCTAAAGTACGCCGTAGTCGTAAACCACCTCCAGATGGATGGGAATTGATTGAACCGACACTCGAAGAATTGGAACAAAAAATGAGAGAAGGTATTATTATAACCTAAAATATCTTATTTGTCAACTTTCTAAATGACCATATAATTCACAAAAAATCTTCAAAAGGATATGTTAATTATAAAAATAAACATATTTTAATGATACTTTTCAGCTGAGACAGAGCCACATGAGGGAAAAAGAAAGCAAGAATCTCTATGGCCAATATTTAAGATACATCATCAAAAATCTCGATATATCTACGACTTATTCTACAGAAGAAAAGCAATTAGCAGGGAATTGTATCAGTACTGTTTGAATGAGAAAATAGCTGACGCTAACCTTATAGCTAAGTGGAAAAAAACTGGATATGAAAATTTGTGCTGCTTACGATGCATACAAACAAGAGACACAAATTTTGCCACTAATTGCATTTGTAGAGTACCTAAGAGTAAATTAGAGGAAGGTAGGATTGTAGAATGTGTACATTGTGGTTGCAGAGGTTGTTCTGGATAGTGATTAATCCCTTTTCAAAATGTTAAATTAGTATAAGATTAAACATTTTGTTTCAAGGACTATAATTAAAAATTTAAAAGGTAATGTAAAAAAAATGTCTTTAAATTCAAATTCATAATTACATTAGATAACAACTTCGGAAACAATATAACTTATGCTGAATGTTTGTATCAAAATATTAATGGGTAATGTCAGAATAAAAGAGTTGTTAGCTTGTATGATAATCTTTATTTCTAATATGGTAATTTGTATAAAAAACTTAAATTTTTAAATAATAAAAGGAACATTATAAACGAAAGACTTGTAACTTAATAATTAATGATAACTTTTTTGAATAAATAATAAAGATAAAACTATCTTTATAATTTATTCATTAAAGTAGAACTAATTTTTGTATTTTTGGGATTTTTAAAATATAAAAAATAGTAAATGTATATAAACTTACTATGTAAGAATGAACACTCAACATATATAGCTATTCTAATTAGCATCTTACTAATCCTGGTAAAACTTTAAATGCCTTCTTTAGGAGAAAATAATTTACCTATTTTAAATGCACATAGTATAAAATTTCTGAAAATGTCTATATATTGTAGGGTATACCTGTTCAGTTGTGCTTGGATAAACTGGCAGCTGTCCATACATTGTTCCTGAACAGCATACACACAGGCTTACCTGGACAGTTCACTATGAAAACAAGGCCCTACTGTGTGACCTTTGTCTATGACTCTTAACTTTTTAATAGTTAAAATAACAATCAAACATTATAAGCTTTGTTATTGCCTATTTCTTTAGACAATTCTAAAACAAGGTCCTTAAAAGCAATTGGATTCATGTTCTTGCCAAGCAAGTGAAGAACAAACCAATCACCATAACCAAAATGATTGGTTATTTTAGAAACAACATATCTATCAACTTGCCTAACACGGCTCATGATCAGATATGTGCGAACAGTAGGCACTGTAAAAATAATAATTCTGAAGAATATAGCAAGAGCAGACAAAACTGCAAGAATTATGAGCCAGAACCATAAAACTGCAAATATTTTTTCATTTATTATATTTAAAGGTAATACACATAGACGATCTTTCAGTTGAGGTGTTCCTGATGGCCCGAAGTCTCTGTATGAACATTTCGTTAGCTTGGGGAAGTATAAATCCATAGGGTTAGGTTGCTGTGATTCTGTTGGCAAATCTGGCACCTGGGTAAATGTGGCAACGGCTGAACCATAATTCCGGAATGAACCACCTAAGAATAAATCTAGGAGAAATATTTGGCCAACCTATAAGAGAAAATATAGTTATATTAATGATAAAAATTATTTAATAATATTGTTGTTCACTTAGTTTATTATTATTAGCTAATCACCCTCGCTCTGCTTAGGTGCTTTAAGCCGTGCCTCTGATTAGCGCGCATAAACGCACATACAAAAAGACAAAAATACTAAAAATCATTGTTTTGGGTTCTATTGCGTAAATAAAGACGCCCAATGATAGTTTTTATCAAATATCTTCCATGAACAGATAGCTATGTATAGGTACTACTACTAATGGGAATAATGTTAAAAACTGGATTATAGTGATACAAATTTGAAATTTTGATTATTGTATTAAAATATTACTTACTGTGTTTACAAAATTAAGTACTTCACAAAAACCATAAAGTAAAGCATATTTCATATGTGTATGGATATTGGAATATGTCAAATAGGATAACATTTCCGCACGTCTGGATTCTCCCCAATTTTTTGTTACAAGAGGATTGGCTGTAAAAAGATTAAACAATAAAATTAAAATACTTATAATATTAAAATTAACTTGTAGCAGAAAAACTTTAGTTTATATGTTATTTTCCTTAAACAATGATATTTTATTAATAAATAAAAAAAATACTGGGAGCTAATTAGAAATGTCAAGAATATTTTCTGATAAATTAAATTCACATACCTAAATCAGATACTAATGCCTTCAGCTTGCCACCTTCCCAGATCTTCCAGAGGTAATGTGGAGTGTAGAACATAGCAGCTTGACACAAAAGTATAAAGGATACCCACTGGTAGTAAGAGTGTCTTCTATGCTTTGCATCACCAGTAGTATCAGTGCCAACTCCAGGGTAAAGCATGTGTTTGGCTGGTTTAAAAATCATTGCATAAATAAAATATAACAATTTATTTTACTAAACCATATATAGATCAGCATTAATATAAAAAATAAATCTACTTTTATTATGTTTTATAAAATTAAAACAATTAGATTTGAAACATATTATTCAATTTCCACTATACACTTATTAGAACTAATTGAGTTCAGCTATTTTAGGGCAGAAGTTTAGTATATGAGTCGCGGCCCCTGAAAAAGTGGGTGGTATTGGATAGGGGATTTGATAGAGAGTATAAATATATAAAAAATATTTTGAGGAAACGAAGGAGTCAAAAGTTATGGAGACAAAGTTAGAACATTTCTATACCTAAATAACATTACAAAAGATAAACAGACCTTTGACGAATAGTAAACGTCCTTTTTCGTGTAAAATTCATATTTTCATAACAATTAAAGCTATAGTGTATTAATATTTTAACAATTTCACTAAAAACAATAATCTAAACAAAATAACTTTAAATTTTGACAAAACTGTCAATTTCTGTTTTGTAAACCGCTTTCAGGACATAACAGATTACCGCATAATAATTAGATAAGAGTTATAATCATGGATGACAAATAAAAGTTATAATGCATATTAAAACCATGGATGACAAAATTAAAACTAAAAGTGTCAACAGATTACTAAGATTTTAAAATAGAAATATGTTATTTTTAAATTCATGCATGCATTTACCAGTTTTTATTTGATTTATGTAAAATATTGAGTTATATAATTAATTTACATTTAGCAAAATGTTTTACACAATTATTTGATTTTATTACCTGTGAATACCTTTCAGTATTTACTATTTTCAACGGGTAGTCACAAAATACCGCGAAGTTCGATAGTTTATATAAATATTAAATACAATCGGTACTCATTAAACGTGTTTACTGTTTAGGTTTTCATATTTTTTGCTGTTTTACATAGTTATTTTTCTCATATTATTCTCCAGTAGTTATTAGTTTTTGTTAATTTTCGTATACGTTCGTTTCTAGATTTTTGTTTTAATAGTATTACTAAAGTTTTAAGTGTTCTTAGTGTTTTAAATGTACTAATGTTGTTTATAAACGTAAGTAGACTATTTTTTTAGTCAAGTGTACTATTTATTTTCGATTAAGTGACAGTCCGACTTGGATATCATAGGTTGAGAAGGCTAAAGCTACGCTACGCTTCGCTCGCGCTTTTTTTTTATATCAAACTCAGAAGTCAGAACCCCTGCAGTACCATTAGTACTTTAAGTTAATTTAAAATTCGATGATAGATCTGACTCATTATTTGAAGATCATTGTGGCACTTGGAAGTGTCAAAATGGCAGTAATTTCATAATATTGTATGGAAATATTGTAACTTTAAGTCACAATAACTTTTGTCTCTTTCGTTTCCTCAAAATAATTTATATAATTGGACTCCGTATGACCTCCCCGATCTAAATATACCACCCACTCCTCCACGTACCCCGTCCAATATACTAAACTGCAGCCTATTTTAGTGTCTCACAAACTTACCAGCAGGTTGATTTTCCAAAGTAAAGGCTCCATAGATCCAGCAATAACTATTTATCGCATCTTTATTGATAGTTTCACCTTCACTTATACAATGTATAGGCTCCCCAAAAAATTGTTTAGATGTAACTAACAAGGTACATACAAGCAGTATTATCACAGTCAATTTGTAATGCAATCGGAAAATATTATTATCCGTGTATACGTTTTGAAACTTGAGAAACGATCGAATAGGCATAAACAGATCAATCATTTTTAAATAACACGGTGGTACAGCACAATATAAACAAAATACCGTCAAGGGCTTCAAGATTTTCTAAATAATAATTATCTACCCACTCATGGCACGCGTGATATATCTGTATCAATAAAAACTAAAAAAACTAAGTAGGTACGTTTTGTCAAAACTTTATACGCGGGAACAATGGGAGTCAACACTGTTCTTATTTATTATATAAACTTAATTCCCATTAACTATTGACACAATATATTTTATTTATATATAGCTTTAGAAAAAAAAACTCAAGATGTTTATAGCTTAGAATATTATAATAACTAAAAATCATTTTAAGTATTTTCTACATTATATATAGTTATGTTGTGACTAATAAATGATAAACGTATATGAAAAAGACTCATATTTTGTATGGTTTGATAAACAGGAATGAGGAAAACTGGTCGGTATGTATACATAGGGTTTTTATGACGGATTTGCATACGTGAATCTGGTATTTGCCAATCTTGGTATTCTGCCAGATGTCCCCGATATCTGCGTAAATTAAGAAACTTAACTTATAAAGTTTATTAAATCAAAATGATTATAACATCTTTATTGTACAGTTAATTTATTGTAGCCAATACAGAGTCATCATTAGGTACTTAATACAATGCCGACATTGTAATTTAAATGACACTTAGGTATACCTACTTACGAGGATTGTGAAGTGCCGATAGGCACGAATAGGTTTTAAAAAAAAATGCTATTTCTTACCGCTCATTTTACCAACTCGTATATCGTATGCGATAGAATTGCAAGTTTAGAGGCAATTACGTACATTTTCTTTTTTAAAATATTGTTTCGGGCGATAACGTCTTCACCCTCCTAAACATTTACGAAATGAGAAAAGCTTGAAGAAAGGAAGTTTTTAAGTGAAAAATATAGATATTTAGATGCTAATAACTGCTATCGTACGCAATATTTCTTTAAAATAAAAACTTACGGACGTAGTTTTTTATTATATCCACAAAATTTCCAAAAAAATATAACATTAGACTGTGTTTATGGGAACAAAAACGTTATCGCTTTTTGTATAAAAATTTACAGCTTCACAATCCTCTTAAGTGCTTTGATAAATTATATGATGCAGAGGCTGAAAGTGCGATAGTATAATTTATATTCTCAGTTTGTTTTTAGTAAGATAGGTATGTGTGTACATTACAAGAAACAAAACTGTAAACAAGAAATATATCAAATTAATTAACTAACGTAAGTTTAAAATAGAATGCATTGTTATATCTATTACTTATAAATAAGCCCATTTTCCTTACAAATTGCATACATAAATTTGTGTTTTAGAATTATAATCAATATCAATAAACTAAGTGGTAACATTACACATAATTATAAAAAGGACTAGACACACCTAAACACCGGCTTAATACAAAGCAAAAATTATATTTTTAATTTAAACTAGAGACTCGCCTTCGCTTCGGTTCGTACCTAAACAAAAACAAACCTATCCCACGGGAACCGTACATTTTCCCGGGATGATATAAAACCTATTATAACCTTCCTCAATAAATAGGTTATCTAATACAAGAAGAATTTTTAAATCAGATTAGTAGTTTCTGAGATTAGCGCATTCAAACAAATAAACAAACTGTCTCTTCATAATATTAAGTATAGATAATAATTCAACCCTTTAACTATCCCACTGCTAGTTGATTAGAAAAATCGAGGAGGATCAGGCGGCAGGCCATAAGTTTCTTAGGATGATTCCTTGATCGTGTAACAAGTGGTAATCATGTACGAAATGACATTTGCGAATTAAAATAACGATACGATTGGGTACGATTCTACGAGACTCGAATTGAACCCACTCCATTGCAGCTGTTTAGTTTAATAAGTTTATTGTATAAAAGAAATTATCTTATAATTGGTACGTATATAGAAATATAAAAATGAACATGGTGATATACTATTGCTTTATTAAATTTTAGTAAAAGCATATCTAAAATCATAAATAAAAATGAATCACGGAAATGTATCTACATTATACACTCGTAACTTCCGATCGACTGCACCAAATTGGATAATTCTTTTTTTGTGTGTTTGTTATTGTCAGGACAAGTTTTGTATTTTTTTTTTATTTCAATCATTTTATTTCGATATAGGTCACTGTATGACTTGTTGATGACTTTAATTATTGATTACTTAACAGAAAAAATCATTACAAATATTATTGAATGTTGTATTTCATTTGTAAGAAAACACATTACTTGAGTATGCAAATGTTACACTTCAGTTGGTTACAGTATAAAATGTTGTAATAAATAATATCATTATGAGATATTTACATTTATTGTTAAAATTTAACTTTTTCAAAAGATAGGTACCTACTTATTTCTACATCTATACATATAATAAAATTGTAACTAAGCCGAATCTTTACATTAGATACTTTTTGGAAAATCTTATTGAAATAAACATTATTATCGATACAGAGGCCAAATCTATAGTTTATAGAATTTTTGTCTGTCTGTTACCGCATCACAGAAAAACCACTGGAGGGATTTTGATGAAATTTTGTACGGTGATAGCTGGTTATCCGGGTCAACATATAGGACTTTTTACCGCGGGAAAATATCTCATTTTTGAGAAAAAATACAAAAACTGCAATGTAAGAGTATACTAATATATAAAAGCTAAGAATAATTTGATTTTTGGTCATATGAATGCGGGCGGAGCCGCGGGCAATGCTAGTACTATATATATAATTTAGACAAGAATCTTAGAACACCACACTTAAATAATATCGGAAAAAGGGAAATGTCATAGATGAGGACCTCCTCCTTTTTTGAAGTCGGTTAAAAATTAAGAATACATACATAATATGTATATCTATATATTCTAAATTATTCTTTAAACACTTATAATATATAAAATTAAAAACACATTATATGGGTTTTTTCCTTTATGGCAGGGGAGCCCAAGAGGGATTTTTGTAGTTACTCAAGCGCGGCAGATTAACATAAAAGAGGTTACCTTGCACTCTATTGAGTACTTTCACCATAATATAAGTCTTCTATATATAGGGGCGCAGATTATTAAATTGGACACTTTTCAGGATGTGACTAGCCTACCACACCTTAATCTGACGGTTTCAAGTATTTCTACCTTATCAAAACATTTTTTAAATATTTTAATCGGCTTCCCTAGACGCGCCCCTTTATATAGAAGACTTATATTGTGGTGAAAGTACTCAATAGAGTGCAAGGTAACCTCTTTTATGTTAATATAATGACGTTAATGTGTCAGTTGAAAAATTTAATATAAATTATAAAATTAATCTAATAAAATATAACTATGTCTTGTGAATCGCGAATATGTGCAGGATGCTTGAAAAAAATTGATAATAATAAATATATCAAATGTTGTCTGTGTAACCAAACTTATGATGCAGTGTGTGCTAACGTCTCCGAAAAGAAGATTAACTCAAAGGATACTAAAAATATTTGGAAGTGTCAAGCGTGTAAAAATAAGCAACCTAAAATTTGCAATACAAATACTCCAATTAGAACGATATTCGCCTTTGATGAAGGACAGAAAGACGTCTTATCCGAATCTCATGACTCAAATATAACTACGCGTAAACCAAAATCATTTAACTCACCTTCCATTTCCACTAGCACAAGCTTAGATGACAACGCCATTGCAGCTATTCGATACCAAGTCTTGGAAGCAATAAAAATAGAAATTCCAACAATGCTATCGAAGGTAATAAAAAGTGAACTATCTACACTATCACAAGAGGTTCATGATTTATGCAAATCAGTTAGTTTCCTCAGTGAAATGCATGATGAAATGAAGGTAAAAATCGAAGAGTTGTCTAATGATAATAAAAGTCTACGGAATGAAAACTCCGTACTTCAAACAACCGTTACTGATTTATCCGATCGTATCAATATTTTAGAGCAACACCTTCGACAAGAAAACTTAGAATTGAATGGTATACCCGAACATTATAATGAAAATATCCCCAACATAATTCAAAAATGTGCCAATGTTATTGGTCACAATATAGCGGATGATGATATTGTTCATTTCACGAGAGTAGCTAAACAAAACAGAAAGAGTGAAAAGCCTCGTTCAATCATAATAAAGTTTAAAAATATTAGACGACGTGACGAATTTTATTCAGCAGTTTACAGATATAACAAAACTCATCCAGATAACAAACTTAATACCTCTTTGATCGGAATGTCCAACGAGAAGAAGCCAGTTTATGTTTCCGAGCATCTTTCTCCTGCTAACAAAGCTCTACATGCTGCTGCTCGTCAAAAGGCTAAAGAATTACAGTATAAATTCACATGGGTTCGAAACTGCCGAATTTACGTTAGAAAGGATGAAAACTCTCCATTTATTCATATCAAAAATATGGATAGCGTTAAGTCTATTCGTTAATTTTATTCTACTAAATTATTTTTAGCATTAATTTTTAAATATGGCTCTCTCAATATATTACCAAAATATTCGTGGTATGAAAACTAAAATCACTGAGATTTGTAATAATATTATAAGTCAATATTACGATATATTATGTCTTACCGAAACTTGGCTTGACAACTCCGTTCTTTCAACAGAATTCTTTGACAATAGGTATGAGGTAGTAAGAAGGGATCGAGATCTAATTTTTTCAAAACGCTTTAATAAATATCGAGGTGGCGGCGTACTAATAGCTATCTCTAAAAAAATTAATTTTGATATTAAGCATGAATGGAAATCTGACATACTAGAAGATCTATGGTTACAAATAAAACTAAATAGTCACTGTACCTTAAATTTATGTACTGCATATATTCCAGAATATTTACCATATAATATTTTCGATGATTTTATAAACAAATGTAATAGGGTTGTCAGCATATTTCCCGGTTGTATAACATGTATAATGGGTGATTTCAATCTCCCTAATTTGACTTGGTCTAAATCACCAGGTCATCCCATAAATTATACTTGTGAAAAATCTAAAGCTCTATTTGATCTCATTAATTTAACAGCATTGAAACAACTTAATTCACTTACAAATCTTAACAACAAAATTCTTGATCTTGTATTGACTGATCAACCGGACAAATTTAATTTAGTTAAAGCTATGCCTATAAGCCGCCTCGATTGTCATCATCCTCCATTTGAAATTATATTTAATTATGGCAAGGTCACCTATCTTCTTGAAAATACTCCAATTACCAAATTGTGTTTTTATAAAACCGATTATATTAACTGTATTAAAGAATTAAAACAAATTGATTGGGAAAGACATGCTAATATACTTAGTTGCGATGAATATGTACAATTTTTTTATAATATTTTGTATTCAATAATAGAAAAATACACACCAAAATCTAAACAACGCAATAATAGATACCCTTTTTGGTTTTCAAAAAGTTTAATTAAACTTATCAAAAGCAAGAATAAATATCATACACTTTTCAAAATTTACAATAATCCAAGAGACTATGATACTTTTGCTCTCCTAAGAACAAGAGTTAAACAACAAACTGAAATATGTTTTAGGTCTTATATATCAAATATAGAAAATAATTTAATTAAAAATATTAAAACTTTTTATCGTTACACTAAAAATAAGAGAGTAACTAATAATATCCCTAAACAGCTGCATTTTAATAATAGAGTAGCTGAATCTGGTATTGATATTACTAATCTTTTTGCTGAATATTTTTCAACTGTTTATGGAAATATATCATCTATTAATTATACACCAAAATTCCCTCCATCTATTTTTTCTATAAGTAATTTACAATTTTCCGCAGACGCAGTTGAACTTCAACTCAAATCAATTAATATTTCTAAAGGATCGGGCTCTGATGGTATTCCACCAATTTTTATAAAAATTTGTTCTTCTGCATTATCAAAACCATTAACAATCATTTATAATAAATCAGTTTTAAATGGTATATTTCCATCTTTATGGAAAATTGCTAAAATCACCCCTATTTATAAATCAGGCGATAAGAGTGATGTCAGAAATTATCGACCAATTTCTATCTTAAACTGCTTTGCTAAAATTTTTGAAACTATGATCTATAAACAACTGTACAGTCATATAAAACCACATCTTAACATTAAACAACATGGTTTCGTATCTGGTTGCTCCACAACTTCCAATTTATTAGTTTATACCACTTTTTTATGTGAATCATTTGATACAAAGACTCAAGTAGATTCAATATATCTTGATTTCTCCAAGGCGTTTGATCGAGTAAATCACACAATACTATTATCTAAGGCTAGCCATCTGGGCATACATGGTAATCTTTATCGTTGGCTATGCTCTTATCTGGATAGCCGTTCTCAATTAGTAGCTCTATACGGGTATGAATCATTTCCATTTCTAGCCACCTCTGGTGTACCACAAGGATCTATTTTAGGCCCTTTGTTATTTTTGATATTTATCAATGACCTACTGTCTTTGATAAATAGTGAATGCCTCGCATATGCTGATGATATAAAAATCTTTTTCCAAGTCACTAAAAGAGAAGATTGTAAAATTCTTCAGCGTGATCTCGACTCTATCCGAATGTGGTGTGATGAAAATTTGATGGAGCTTAATAAAAATAAATGTTATATCATTTCATTTACAAAAAATAAAGTTCCAATATCGTTCGACTACAACATAGCAGGCACCGTTATTTCTAGAGTCAAAGTAGTACGGGACCTAGGTGTTATATTTGATTCAACCTTATCTTTTAGGCCTCATATAGATTACATTACAAGTAAAGCAAATAGATCACTCGGTTTTATCATCCGAACTGCCCAACCTTTCAAAAATTCAATCTCGTGGATAGTTTTGTATGTCACTATAGTAAGAAGCATACTTGAATACTGCTCTTCCGTATGGAAACCAATATATGATATTCATATTAACAGAATCGAGGCTATACAACGTAAATTTCTAAAAATATTAAGCAGGAGGCAAGGTCTCAGGCGTGAATTACCAACTTACACTGACAGACTTCATAAATACAAACTAAAAAGCCTGGAAGATCGGCGTGTTATATCAGATTTATGTATCCTCCATAAAATAGCCAATGGCGATTTCAACAGTAAATTACTAGAAAAACTGGAATTTAAAATTCATACTCACTCGATTCGTCAGCCACAACTTTTTAATATACCTTCGGCAAGTAATAACGTTTCCCAAAACAACCCTTTACACAGAATGTGTAAAACATACAATAGTTTAAATGATGAATACGACATTTTTAATAATAGTTTATTATCGTTCAAGAAAAAATTAAATAAATTATAGTTCTTACTTTACATTTTCGATAATAAAGATATATTTTCTCTCTGTTTCTTCTCCTTTATCTTTTTTTCTTTTCTTTGCCTTTTTTTCCACATGAAATGTAAATATTATTTTGTTTTTGTTTTTTAATATTTCTTATGTACTCGTTACTTTAAATGCACAGACTCATACTGTATTAATTCACTTTTTTGGTTAAGTTTCTTTATATAATTATTATATTTTTTCATTTGAATGTTGTGTACAGACATAATTGGAGAACAAATTTAATATGATATTTTTAGTTTTTAATATGAAGATGTAATTTTTTTAATTTGTTTTCTGTTTCTGTACCTAAATAAATAAAATAAAATAAAAATAAATAAAATAATCTGCCGCGCTCGAGTAACTACAGAAAATCCCCTCTTGGGCTCCCCTACTATTAGGTAATATCTCTATGCTTGCAAAACAGATGCTTTTGAAGCTATACTCCTTTTGGCACGATTGGGAAAAATTATGATTTTTTACGATGCGCGCGCCCAGAGCGACAGCCAAAAAGCGACATGATGAAGTTAGCTGCATTCCTTTTACAAACAGAGAGGTGTGACATACAGGATGAAATCTTTAGCTATTTTTGTTCTGTTACGTCAAAGAAGTATAACTTTTTACGTGCGTACATAAGTACACACACACAGTTTATTTAATATTATTTTCCTATTTTCCACAATATCACCACTAAATATTTAATCTAATATCACGTTATAACTAATTTTGTGATTCACATATTATTCTAATTTGTCATTTCTTTATAACGAAAAGCCTTGGAATGTAATTAAATTTAAGGAATAATTATAATTATTATTTATATAAAAAACGCCATTTTTGGCAATTCACTGATTATTTATTCGAGTAATTTTACAATTTGTTTATTGGTAAAAAATGTTATCGTTTAAACTTACATCAATAAACTATCCTTAATATTGATAAAATCAATTTAGTCCCATTTGAATTGAACCAATTTCTACAAAATATTGAAAATTACTTCACTCACAATCCTTATTGCTTTCACAGCAAAATTTCAATTAATTAAAAAAACATACCAAGAACTTCCACCTAATTACAATTATTATAATAATAATAAAACATGTCACCATTCGATTCTTATAGAACAAAAAAAAATCATAATCAAGTTTTATTATAACTAGCGATGCTGCGAACTTTCGACTCCGACTCCGACTTCGGTTGCGATAATATCGAATCAGAGATTATACCGAAACTTACTTTTTGTGTTAAACTTCGTTCGTAACCATTATCAAAGTCTCGACTTGAGGCGCAGGGAATCCCCTCATGAGTGAAAGAGTTCACAATATCACTAGTCGACTGGTTAAATTAATTCTTCGATATTACGAACTTCTTTGCATTCTTTGCATTCTTTCATTTATATATCGAATTAAAAACCTCCGCTTTCTGTTCCAACAAAACTACCACCATCCCTAATTAAAACCATAACAGCATACACATTTACAATTTGCTGTTAACATGTGGCATGTACTTATCAAAGGCCATGTTGGAGAGTGCGAAGATGTTGTCGGGGTCGAGCGCGCGCTTGGCGGCGAGCAGCAGGCGCGCGCCGGGCTCGCTCACCGTGGCGGTGTACCACTTCTTGCGCAGCTTGCCCACGCCGTGGTGGTGCGATATGGAACCTGCAATTATTAGCCATACTAATATTAATCCCTCCACGACAGCGGACACGCCGGCGTGTCAGTTAACAATACATTTCTTAGAATTTTAATTAATTTCTTAGAAATTTACCTGAAGGTGTTATAAATGTGATTCCAAAATATTAAAAACCCCCTACGCAAATTAATAATTTTCATTTAACGATTACACTGGCACGCGTGAAGCAATTAATCGAGTAACGCCAAAATGCCTTACATCATTTGGGAAAAGAGCTGATACTCCTACACTGCTGGACCGATAATAACCAAATATAGCTAAGAACCACAGCAAGGAAACTGGCTTTCAAAAGAAGAAAACCGTATCGAAATCAGTCCATCCGTTTGAGAGCTACGATGCCATAGATAGACACACATAAACACACACATCGACGTCAAACTTATAACACTCCTCTTTTTGTGTTGGGGGTTAAAAATGTGTTTCTCATTATTTCACTTCGATGTGGAGTAACGGATTGGCGTTATTTTTTTGTGTAGAAAGAGTTGACTGGCTGGAGAGTGACATACTTTTTACCGCGGGATACTATCTCATTCTCACGGGAAAACACATTCTGATACAACCCAAAAAGTTACTTATGATCAGAGTTACTTGAAACTTCGTATTAATGCTCTTACATTAAAAACAAATAAATACGTGTTTTAGCATTTTTCAAAATTCAGTAAAATAAGGCATGAATATTTTTATGAAACCTAAATTTTCAGTTTTTTTTTGGAGTTTTAGCGCGAGCGAAGCCGCAGGCTAGTATATACATATTTACTGTAGTGATTTAAGTGGTAGCCCAGTGGCAACGCGCTCCTTAAGAAACTGAGTGAAGCGGATTCAAATCCTGGGTCTCAAACCTCAGATATTTTCATATGCGAATCATTTCCAACATAATTCTTGTTGGTCTTACGGTGAAGGAAAACATCGTGAGGAAATCTGCATGTCTGAGAATTACTAGCAAGTTTTCGAAAGACATGTGAATTGTGAAGTCGACTAATCTGCACTTTGCCAGCGTGGCGGATTTGGTCTGATCTCCTCGTATTGAAGGGAAGCCCCAGCAGGGAAACGTTGAAAATTCTTGTACTTTTTTTGAATTAATGCAATACTAAGCACGCAATCACTAAGTTTGATCTACTCTAACATCTTGCTATTTATAAAAAAGGTAAAATAGTGCGTAACTCATTTAATGAATAGTATTAAGGGAAAACCATTACTTATTTAAAAATAAGGAAAAACCTGTGTCAAAATGATTCAAAAATCTATGTATGATTACTTCATACCACATATGTCGTCACTTTTGCCTTATACGAGTACGTGACAGGATAATTAATATTCAAATAAACAAAAAATAATTGGTCACATATTTTAATGACTAGGTATTTTATATACCTATTATCTTCATAATATTCAGAAAAGAAAATAATTACTTTACGTCGTTGTTGTTGGGACAACAACACACAGCACCATCTAGTTCCATGATCACCATCACCATCTAGTTGATCCACTACACATATTATATAACTTAAGATACATAGATATTATAAATATAAACACCCATGACTGTAACACAAACGTTTGTGCTCGTCACACAAATGAATGCCCCCAGCGGGACTCGAACCCGCGACCGCTAGCACAGCAAGTAGTGACCCACTACAAACTGAGCCAAACCGTGTCGTCCAATCGTCGTCGTGTCGATGACTGATAAATTTATTTGCTACGGTCAATACACTACATTTTCAATTTTTATAATTAGCTTATCTTTGAGATGATCGATCTCCCGAGACACTGTCAAGGCCTATCAATTTGACACCAATAACAGGTTTCATTGAACATTATATGAATAAAGCAGCAGCATAAAATTATAGCAGGGCTCGGAATCTCGTTTAATTTTTTGGGTTTTGGTCATTGACCCTAAACTGAAAGGCATTTCGGTTTAAGGTTTCGGTTACGTTCTTTAACCGGTTAAATTCGGGAGAACAGTTTTTAACAAATTTAGGTTCCATGATCAAAATTAACCGGTTAAAATGAGTTTCTGTGCGTTTACATTTGGCGCGTCTTTAATAAGCATACATGACGTTTCTTACTGATGAATGAACTAATCAGTTTATTTCGATATCAAAAACCGAAATCCAATCTGTCTCTAAGAATAATCATTAACCATTATTATTTCGGTTTACTAAACCGTTCGTTTTCATTAACCGGTTAAAGAAAGCGATGAATTAACTTTGTATTTCGAACGGACAAATATCCATTTGCTGGCTAGTAAAATATTTGGCTATTTAACCGGTAAAATATATTTTAAATAAAACTATCTTTTCGGATTTTGTCGCGGATTTATTTGTATTTTTGTTTCCCGACGTTTCGAATGCTTTACAGCATCCATGGTCACGGGAGAGACTGAGGCGTTACATGTCTTAAAGATATAGTTGTTACAGACAGCCTACCCACAATTAACAAAATGAAAATTGCACCAATTACATTACAATATTTTAACTTTAAATATTTTTATAATTTTAATTATAATTGAATATGGAAAAATATTTATTTAATTTTTGCTATTATTTTTATAATTGTTATAATTTTAAAAAATATATTTTGAAAGGACATTTAACCCAAGCGGCAAAAATTTTTTTGTTATATTATTTTGTTGAATTTAAGCTGACAATTATTAATTTTTAACTTCTTGTTACATATAATTTACCAAAAAGTCAACATTTTTTTGTAACGCTTCGATACTTATTTTCATGGTTTGTACTTTTCAAACCACAGTAGGGTATAAAATCAAAATGGCGCATGTTTATTCAACTTTTCCGTTGACATTGAGCAGTTGATAATAGTCAGCATACTTAAAAATAAATCATCATAATAATTATTTTTTATGAATAAAGTGTGAGTTTATAATAATTTTAGTATAGTATTACAAAAAAACGCTAAGAACTTGATCGGTGGTGATTGTTGTGATTCGAGAATATAGCTCAATAAACTAGGTTATAAAATTTTCTTGGATTCGATCGATTGGATTGGATCGATCTTGGAAAGTCGCGCTACGAAACTCATGATTTATTGATATTGCCAAAGTTAGTATCTGAAATATTGACAAAATTATACATATAAGCTGGGTATTTGAAGAGCTTTTTAATTAATTATTATTAATATTAATTGACATAATAATTAATTTTTAATAATTTACAACTTTTTGTTTTTTTAATTAATATATATATATATATATATGGTGTATATAAGCTAAATTCTTATTAGCCTGCTCTATACATATTCTCAACCACGTATCAACCCCACCATGAGGCAAAAAACTATTTTGGTTAATTATCCGGTAAATTACCGACTCCAAGTTGGTAAAATAAGTAAAATGTATATTTTACCGGTAAATTCTCTTCACTAAATTAACTATTACATACATTACCGAAATAAACAGTTTTTTTAAGCCGGTTCCGAGCCCTGCTTTATAGCATGGACGGAGGCACAATTATATCCATGGAGATGCCTTGTTCATATTAAACTACTAGCTATTCTTTAAATGACTGCGGTTATAATATTTTTTCATATTTAATGTAGGTAAAAAAATTTAAAATATTCTTTTAACAGATATCTAAAAACCAGCGATTTCACTAATATAATTTTACTTATTTAACTTTTTTTTATATATTTTCCTTTATAGTGAAAATTTCGTAAACATATAGTAAAGTTAAGCAATATAAACTATGCCGTATATATTTCTTAATAAGGTCTATTTTACTTTGTCTACATTTATGCTCTTTATCTAGGAAACGATAAGCTCCCTCCGTGTACATTAGCCTTAAGTTATGTCGATCATTCAATATGAGTTATTCTTATCTAGCTATCTAATATTTATATATCTATCTGTCTCTATCTGTGTATTCAATACCATTATATAATATTTTATATATACTCTCATAGCATAAAGCTTGGTTTTGCCTGGATGAGATTTTTTTCTAACTTTTTCCATCGCAAGCTACCCAAGTCCGATTCCATGGCAGAAAAACTCACTATCTAAGCTCGACACGGGACTCGAATCCAGAACATGTCAATTTTTATCTGTACATGCTACCTACTAGACCACCGAGGCAATCAAAGCACATCTATACAAATAAATAAAATTGAAGTGTCTGTTTCTAATATCAAAATAACAGCTTTTTACTAATGCATATGAAAGTAACAAATTTAAAAAAAAATGTCTATCTGTTCCAGCGAATCTCCAAACCGCGGGATCGATTTTAACGGGACGTTCACTAGCAGCTAGTCGCTAATTAACTAATAAGATAAATTCGAATTCAATTCAAATTGAAAATATTTTATTCAGCATTAAATTATTACAATTTCTTACCGAACGTCTTTGTTGATATTTAATTGGAAATAAAACTTGTATTATTTTCAATACGTATTTATTGTTATACTAGCATTGCCCGCGGCTCTGCCCGCGTTCAGATGACCAAATGAAATTCTTAGGTTTTACATATTAGTATACTCTTACATTGCAGTTTTTGTATTTTTACTCAGAAATGAGATATTTTCCCGCGGTAAAAAGTATCCTATATGTTTACCCGGATAACCAGCTATCATCATACCTAATTTCATCAAAATCCCTCCAGTGGTTTTTCCGTGATGCGGTAACAGAGAGACAAAAACTCTAAAAACTATAGATTCGGCCTCTGTATCGATAATAATGTCTATTTCAATAAGATTTTCCAAAAAATATTTAATGTACAGATTCGGCTTAGTTACAATTTTATTATATGTATAGATATAATTTAGACAACAGTAACAGCCAAAGGAATAATCATCGAATAGAAAAAGTACCCAACCTTATATACTATTTTTGATTTTTTTTTTATCAATATACCTAAGAATAACGTTTGCCTTCCTAAATCTTAATAGTCTTGAGTCTACTACCAGTTCGGAAAGAAGCCTCAGACCTGAGAAGAACTGGCGAAAGAAACTCAGCGGGACTAATATATTACTTTATATATAAGATTTAGTAGAAATGAATTATAATTTAATTTAAAACCTTATTATTCTTTAAAACCACTATGTGAGGTTACGTCAAATCAAATTCAAATTAAGAGACGAAGCGACATCATGACATTCGTTGGAGATATGTGGCTTGGTAATGTTGGTTGATCATGGCGGATCATTGGAGAGTTGTGTTTCGATGTTGCAGATGGAAGTCAGATCGGTATACACTATACATGTGTAGTGTATCAACTATCTGGTATCCATAACACAAGCTTCGGCTTACCGTGGAACTAGTGGTATAAATGTTTCAACACATATTATTATAATATTATTAGTTATGATTACATTGTTGTATTCCGGTTTGAAGGATAAGGTAGCCAGAGCAATTACAGGCAAGAGGCATATCATCTTAGTCCTCACAGTGATAACGTACCGCCGGTTCTGCAGTTTTGTTACGTAAATCTAAGTGCATGAACCGTAGGTGTCATGGGCGATAGGTACCGCTTTCCATCAGGTGGGCTGTCTGCTCGTTTGTCACTGAGTACCATAAAAAAAATGATTATATAAGCGTCCCCTACCGCCACAGGCGACGATCTCGTCGCGCGCCGCGTCCTCGATCTCCTCGTACAGACGCACGGCGTCGCCGCGCGCCTCCGCCGCGTTGAACCCGAAGTAGAAGTAGATGCAGCAGCCCGCATCGTAGCTGCAAATTAATAAATAAATAATAATAAATAAATATGTTGGGACATTATCACACAGCACCATCTAGTTCCATGGTAAGCTACGAGGCTTGTGTTATGGATACCGGATAGTTGATACACTATACATATATTACTTTAAATACATACATATTATAAATATAAACACCCATAACTAGAGTACAAACATTCCTGCTCATCACACAAATGAATGCCCCCAGCGGGACTTGAACCTGCGACCGCTGGCACAGCAAGTAGTGTCACTGCAAACTGAGCCAAACGTGTCGTCAATTGGAATCGAATCACGTTTCATATACCGTCAGTGCCGGATTCAACCTTAGCGCCCCTGGGCACTGAAAAAATGCCGCCCCATTATCGAAACTTTGCATAAAATTGATAAAGTTCGATAAAGTTTAATTTCTATTAATTATTATTTTTTTGACAAATATGCAAAAAAAATGATTAACAAATGTTTTCAATTTTTCGAAAAATGTAACTAAAGTCTGATTTTTAATTCCACGGAAATATGACAGCTGTCATTCTTTGACAATTCAGATATCATAAACCTTTTCTGCTTTGAATTTTTTTTAATATAAAATAACAAAAAATATGAAACAGAATTAGATCACGTAAACTATTTGTATGACATTGTAAATAGTCTTTGTTTTGTGCAATCAATACACGCTAACTATAATGTAAATTTTTAATGGTTAAATGGATAAAACAGAGTAAAACAAAATATTTTACAAAGGGGTCTTACTAAAAAAAGAACCGCCCTGGACAGTAGTCCCAAATGCCCGTATTGTAAATCCAGCGCATTATATCGCGCGTCGGCCTAATTCGTTAATCTGCTGCAAAAAAAAACTGCATTATACGTTGATTCCTATAACTTTTCTTGCAATTTTCTAACCTTTTCATAATGATATCTTCGCTATTCCTTTAAAATAATGTAGGTAATCGTCAGAACTTTTTGACCGGCATAAAAAGTAAAACGAACTTAGCAGTTTAACGAATTAGGCTAACGATAAAAACTATTTGTATTAACTGTCACTAAAAACATTTGTATAGGAACTAACTGGTAAGTCAAAGTCTTTTTATATGTATAATAACACCTCCAGGTAAATTTCTAATAAATTAATTAAATATCTAAGAAATCTATTGTTAACTGTAACGCCGGCGTGTCCGCGGTCGTTGAGGGATTAATGACACTACGGAATTTAAACGTGTGAATTTAACACAATATGCGTCTTTATTATAGAAATACTAGCGACTCACCCACGCTTCGCTCGGGTACGTTTTGATTTTTTTGAGCGGAATCCTAATTCTTTTCCTAAAATAAAAGTAGCCTATGTTACTCCCTATAACATCAGCTATCCTCCAGTGAAAGTCCCGTCAAAATCAGTCCAGTCGTTTCAGAGATTATCCGGAACAAATAGACAGACAGACAAACAAAATTGAATTGTGTTTTTCTTATAAGTACCGTATATATAGGTATTCATATGCATTTAGTAAAACGCTGTTATTTCAACATTACAAACAGACAGTTCAATTTATTTATCTGTATAGATGACAGATATACAAATACGGCACATACGTCTGAGTGAGCCGACAGGAGATGTGGAAGGAGCGCAGGCCGCGCGCCGCGCACTCGCGCCGCACGCGCGCCTTGGCGGCGGCGCACAGCGGCAGCGCGCGCGCCCACGACACCGACGTCTCGAACGACTCCGCCACCACGCCGTACTCCAGCCCGAGGTCCTGGAGGGGTTTCAATCATATATTTATACTTATACTGGCAGAACCCGCGGCTTCGCTCGCGCTAAAACTACAAATAAATCTCTATAAAGGTAGTTTCATACAAACTTTCACCCCCTATTTTACCCCCTTATAAGATGAATTTTGTAAAATGCTAAAACACGTATTTATTTTTATTGAAGAGCATTAATATCAAGTGTCAAGTAATTCTGATCATATTTTTTTTGGATTATAAAAATCTATAACGTGTTTTCCCATGCGAATTAGATAATCTCCCGCGGTAAAAAGTAGCCTATGTCACTCTCCAGCCCTCCAACTATCTCCAAACAAAAAATCACGCGAATCCGTCACTCTGTTTCGATGTGAAAGAAGGACAAACAACAAACAAAGAAACAAACACACTTTCACATTACTTATAATATTATACTTATATTTAACAACACGTTTGACTCAGCAAACTGATTCAAACGTGTTGTTAAATATAAGTACCCTACTTACTGTGACAGCGGTCGCGGGTTCGAGTCCCGCTGGGGGCAACCATTTGTGTGGTGAGCACGAATGTTTGTACTCCAGTCATGGGTGTGTATATTTATAATAAAGTAATACAAGTGTAGTGTATCAACTATCTGGTATCCATAACACAAGCCTCGTAGCTTACCATGTCTCAACATATTTATGTTGGTACATTTATTGCAAGCGCCGTGCAATTATAACGGTTAGTATTTGACGGCATTGATTATTACCACTAACCACATAATCAGCATGATAATTCTTACTAATCTAACTAACTGATATTTTTGTAGTGCAACGGATTTACATGAAGTTTTGCAAAGAAGTAGTTTGAGTCAATGAGTCCCATAAAGTGCTTTAACATCCCGTTGCGTTAAGTGGTTTTTGTTCGACAATAATACTGCGAAAAATTATACGAGTTTATATGTATGCTGTAATACTGTTACTAATATGACACATGCATTTTGATTTTTGTCATACATTTCGGTATGTCTTTACATAGTATAAAATGAAGTCACTTCCGCTGTCTATTTGCTTAGATCTTTTAAACTACTCAACGGATTTTAATGCAGTTTTGTAGCAAAAGATAGAGTGATTCAATGAGAAGGTTTATATGTATAATACATGCATATTATAGTACAGAATAGTAGAGAAATTCAAAGATTTGTATTTCATACTAACTGTTAAATAAATATAAATTCATTTTTCCTTAGAGACAACGTCACCAATGCGTGTTTACCGTTTAAAGCAAAAGTGCAATTTCATTTAGCTTATACGTGACTTACGACATGTGTAGGTATAATAAATACATATATATTGATTTATTATATATTTTTTATTTATATTATGATATATTTTTTGAATAAACGCAAAGTTTATTCGAGTTTCATCATCCTGCAAAACTACGAAGAAAATTGGTCGGTAAAATAAAATCAATAAACTAAAATTATTATAATTTATACAAAAAAGGGACATATAATAAAATTGTAACAAAGCCGAATCTGTACATTAAATATTTTTTGGAAAATCTTATTGAAATAAACGGTATCGATGTAGAGGTCGAATGTATGGTTTTTAGTTATAATTTTTGTCTGTTTGTCTGTTTGGATTGTGATGAAATATGGTATGATGATAGCCGGTTATCCGGGTCACCATATAAGATACTTTTCATTGTGGGAAAATATCTCATCTCTGAGGAATCTATACTAAACCTGAAAATGTAATTGTAATAAACCTTGAACTTACAACAAAAGACACCAAAATTAATATATAAGAGAAGAAAGTGAACACTCACCCGTATATACGCGATGACGAACGTCAGAGTGTACCCCCGCTCGCCGTTGGCGGCGCCGCCGGGCACGCCCCCGCGCCGCGCCGCCGCCGCCCGCAGCGCGCGCTCGCGCTCCGCCACGGCGGCCGCGCTGCCCTCCATCAGCAGCGTCACCACGCACAGCTTCAGAGGGTCGAAGCCTTTGATCTTCGTTATGTAGAACTTCTTCAGCCCGTCGAGTAGGACTCCGCCCCATGACTGCTCCGTTTTAAGCGCGTGGCCGAAACGAAACTGTGGATTGTAACATTGATCTAGTATTGATGTATAATATTTTAACTATAATTAGAGTTCATACCAAATCGTATTTACCTATTAGATATTCATATCTTTAAATATTGTCGGCTGGCACCGACTTTGAAAATATCTGACCAGGTATCTATTCTAAATGAAAATCCCCGTTTAGTTATTTTTTAAATTTTAGTGCCTGGAAGTCGGTTTTTTTTTTTAAGTTTTTATTTTTCCATTTTTAATATAGACATAATAAGCAGGTAATTTGCAAGAACAAAATTTTTTAATAACATGTTCGATTAAACAATTTATTTAAAATAAAAATATTTATATGTTGATTTTTTTGAAAACCGCTCGACCAATTTCGATAAAATTTAAATGAGAACACATGGGAAGTATACCCTTCGAAACAAAAAAAATCCAAATCGGTTCAGACATCTTCGAATAATCGGTGAACATAAAAAAACAGATTCCGACGAATTGAGAACCTCTTCTTTCGGTCAATGATAATTAATATTATATAATAAGAATATTCTTTTCTTAAATTATTTATATAAATATATTATTGTAATATGCCTAATATGCTATTTAATATTTATTATCTTTTAGTATCTCACTTATATAACCTACAGAAGTTTTACTTCTTGCGCGTGTACACATTCATACACGCACTCTTTAATTATTTTTTCTTATTAGTAGACAGTGGAAGCTTTTTGACTTGTAATTAAAGAAATTGTTGTTTTTATAATTTTTTTATTTTTCATTGTTGTACCAACTGCATGAAAGATTATGGTTTATGTTATACAAACAAAAATAAAATTAAATATATTTGTTTGTTAGTACTGAATAAGCTTCGAAACTACTGAACCGATTTAGATGAAATTTGGTAAGAAGATAGTTTGAGACCTTGGAAAGGACATAGGATACTTTTTATCCCGGAAATCATCGCTTAAGGGGTGAAAATGGGGATGAAAGTTTGTACTGGGAATCAAGCTAGGGACGAACCCGAGCGAAGCGAAGGTGAGCGAAGCGAAGGTTAAAAAATATGTAAAGGAACTATGAATACCTGTTCGTTATCCATGAGCCGTATGCTAGAAGGCTGCAGTCTTTGCCTCGCGACCTCCCTCTCGAAGTGGAAGCCAGACTCCCAGTCGGGGAACACGAGCGACCCGTAGCGGACCACGGGCGGTAACGGACGGATTTTTAATGTAACCTAATATAATTAAAATATATATAATAAATTATAATTAAAATATAAAAAAATAGTATTATATGTACCTACTTACCAATAATTGGTCAAGTGCGATACTTTATTATCTTAGACCACTAAATTATATATTCAAAATTTTGTACGTGTTTATGTTTGTTAATACTTCACGCTCAAACGGCTGGATGGATATAGAAGAAAATCAGAACACAGACTATTACCTGGAGTAACACATAGACTTACTCATAACTATTAGGTCTGTACATATTCGTAATATGAAATATAAATACAAATTAAAGCACCGCCAGGGACCGCACACCCGAGCGAAGTCCTAGAAAGTCGTTAGTATTAAAAAATGGTTTGTCTTAAAATAAGGTATTGACCATTACTACCTTCTACGGTTTAGAGGATGCATCCCTTTAAAGGCATGACAGATCGACAGACAGTGTAGGAATAGGCTTAAGGGCATCTCTTTAATAAAATCATACCATACTAAGCACATCGAAATTCATACAGGAGTCCCATATTGCTTAAAGCTTTTAATACTAACGTCTAGATAAATATATACCCAATAGCCCATCATAAAAGAAATATAGAAAAAGAGAAACAACATTATATATGGGACATACAGCAGACGGCTTTATCATAAAATATTATATTATGATGTGTAGCCAAGCATAATGCTATAAGAAAACTCTTGCAGTCAACTTTATCGTAGGAGTAAGTGAAATGGAAATTATATTTAATATTATTATATGTAATGTATAAGTTATATATTCATGTTATTTATCTGATTTCCGAAGGTCTTGAGTTTGAGTCCCGGGTCGAGCCGAGTCTAGTTATTGAGTCTTTCTGTTACGAAAGTCCCAGTTACAGCTGTTTGGTTGGGGAAATTGGCGTTGTTTCATCCCCGTGCTTCGAAAAGCATGTATATCCGTCGGTACTGAGCCTGATCTTCCACAGTCAGTGTCAAATTATCGTAATGTTGGAATTTGAGAGTAACAGGAATTGAATGCACTTGTGTTTGTGCGTACATTTGTGCACTATAATATCTCCTGCACATCTGGCTAGTCTCAGTGAGATTCGCTGCAGTGGTCGAAATCGGTTAGGAAGTTACATGACAATTTTCCATATATTACTTAGTTAGATTTTTATAGCTTTACTTCTGTATGAACTGAGATTTCTTTGATTATAAGAAATAAACAAATCCTGTTTTGTGTTTTTAATATTAATAGCAATTATTACCTCAGTGACAACCCCCAAGCATCCTTCGGAGCCCATGATAATGTGCTCCCACTCCGGCCCGCACGATATCCGAGGCACGCGACAACTCTTCTCTATCACACCGCGAGGAGTCACAACCTGGAAATATGAAAAATATAATGAAATATGTTTGTTCATTGGTAGCCCAGTGGAAACACGCTTGCTTGGATAACTGAGTGAAGGGGTTCAAATCCTCTTACATCTCTGATATTTTCATGTGCGAATCATTTTCAACATGATTACTACTTGCCTTACTGTGAAGGAAAACATCGAGAGGAAACCTGTGTGTCTGAGAGAAACTAAAAAGGTTTTCGAAAGACATGTGAAGTTGAACAACCAGCACTGGGCCAGCGTGGTGGACTATGGCCTGAGCCCCCTCGTATTGAAAGGAGGCCCGTGCCCAGCAGTGGGATGTTAAAAAGGGCTGAATACACGTCCATACAGGAATATACAAGTACGCACATACAAGTATTTATATAGTTCATTCAAGCGTTAAAAAACGCTTTCATATTATTGACAAAGGGCAAAGAAGGCTGAATGTGATATTTCCCAAGGCGGATTTAAGACTGGCCACTTCGAAGCCGCCGCCTATTGTAGAAGTTATTATACTCGTTTCCAGACCAATTTGGCAAATTTCTTTTTTATGATATTTGTAATATAATACTTTCTTAGATTTACGCGAATATTTAACATCTCCTCCCATCTCCATGGTCTTTCCCGTGACCATGAATGCTGTAAAGCGTTCAAAACGTCGGGAACCAAAAATCCAAATAAATCCGCGAAAAAATCCGAAAAGATATTTGTAATAATTTAAATAAAGTTTTAGGAAAGAAAATGGGATAATTACTGAAAAATGGGAAAATTCGGGAAAATTGAAAGTGATTTTCGTCTACAGGATATTTGATGAACTCAAAGATCACAAACAAATATATTGAAATGTGGTTAAGCAAAGGCTAACAGGTCAGTCAAATTATAATATTTTAATGTAGTAAATAAAAGAATAAAGCAAAAATAAATGAAAAAATAATTCGAAATTCTCTACTTGTTCACTTAAATTTACATGTATTTTAATTAACATGTTAATTTAAAATGCATGTCACTTTAACATAAGCACAATATAACAATAAACTGCTAAAAGTTTAAAGTTATTTACAAGTCAAAAATTGTATTTAATATTTACTCATTTTTGGTTAATTTATTTCAATCAAAACTATAGAAAAATTCGAAACATCATTGTGTCGCAGATTTTCTTAGAAAGAGATTAAGGTTTTAACCATATTACCTAACCGATAACCTCATATACATTTAATATATAGAAGTTTCTTTTTTTTATATAATACGATATATATACTGATACTACACAATTACTTTTAATAATATTTTGATTTCTTTATTTATTTTACTTGTTTGTGTAAAGTACCTTATAGTAAAGCGACAGAAGCCACGTTTCGCAACGACAAGTAACATACGAGAATAATATCTATTGTAGATGAATCATATAATTTCATGACTATCTCTATCAATTTGATACCAGACATACATAGTTATTACCAGTGACTAACCCTCACTTCGCTCGGGTGCGTCCCTAAGTACGTTTTAATTTTTTTGAACGGAACCCTAATTCTTTTTCTAAAATAAAAGTAGCCTAAGTTAGCATCAGCTATTTGCCAGTGAAAGCTCAAAATCAGTCCAGCCGTTTCGGAGATTAGCTGGAACAAACAGACACACCGACAACAATTATAAAAATTATGTTTTTTATACCTAAGTACCATATATAATGGTTTTTTTTATAAGTACCTACCGTATATAATTAATTTCTTATTTCATATACACTTCGTAAAAAGCTTTTATTTCGACATTACAAACAAACACTTCAATTTTATTTATCTGTATAGATATATAGATGAATCATAAATATTTTCGTGACTATCCCTAAAATCAATTTGATAACAGACAGTTATCTATACAGATAAATAAAATTAAAGTGTCTGTTTATAATGTCAAAATAACAGCTTTTTACTAAATGCATATGGACTTATATACAGTAAGTATTTATAAGAAAAACACAATTTTTAAAAATGTTGTCTGTCTGTTTGTTCCGGCTAATCTCAACGACAAACGGCTGGGGCGATTTTGACGGGGCTTTCACTGGCAGGTAGTTGATGTTATAAGGAGTAATTTAGGCTACGTTTATTTCAGTAAAAGAATTAGGGTTCCGCTCAAAAAAAATAAAATATGTGTTTTTGGTTTTGGGAACCAAAAATCAAAATAAATTCGCGAAAAAATCCGAAAAGATAGTTTTATTTTAAATGTCAAGTATTCGCGTAAATCTAAGAAAGTAAAATATGTGTTATGATAATAATCTTGATAAAGAAGCGAATGAATAAGCTAAAAATAACTTTAATAATAATATGTTCATACAAAACGAATATAATAATGACCACAACTTTAACATAAAAATGATTGTCATCTTTCTCACAATTGCAAGAAACCTTGAAAATGTGTACAACATTTTTAAATAAAACTATCTTTTCGGATTATTTCGCGGATAAGTTTGATTTTTGGTTCCTGACGTTTCTTATCAGATTAATATTTTTCATTTGTAAAAGTATATAGTAATAGTGTTGCTCAGTAAGTTGTTTTAAATAATAGCAAACTAAATTAAAATTATTATCCTTAATTAATTTTAACTTTTTTAAATTACACATAGAACAATTATATGGCTTAAATAATTAATACTATATTTTATATTTTTCTTTATGGTTATAAATATAATAATGGCAACACTAAATATAGATTACTAATTAATATTTTTAAAATTGTAATAATTATAAAAATAATAGCAAAAATTAAATAAATAATATTCCATATTCAATTATAATTAAAATTATGAAAATGTTTAATGTTAAAAAATATTGTAATGTAATTGGTGCAATTTTCATTTTGTTAATTGTGGGTAGGCTGTCTGTAACAACTATACCTTCAAGACATGTAACACCTCAGTCTCCCCCGTGACCATGGATGCTGTAAAGCATTCGAAACGTCGGGAACCAAAAACCAAAATAAATCCGCGAAATAATCCGAAAAGATAGTTTCATTTAAAAATGTCAAACATTCGCGTAAATCTAAGAAGGTATTATGTATACAAAAATAGGTATTATAAAATAAATAATTTATTTGTGTAAAAATATTTGTTTGGTTTATTTTAGGCCACGCGTTATTCCTGTAAGTAATACTATAATATTCGAATCCAAAGCTAGAAATAGCACAATATCTGAAAACGTTGATTTAATGGTTTTATAGAATACGAGTAACTAGATGACATTAGTATACATATTAAAGTAAGTATGTATAATGTACAACCATTATTATTATTATTTATGTTGGGTGTGGTGCCGAGGTCGGCCCTAGCTACGTCGACCAGTTTTGGTCCATTGTAGCTCCCTTTATAATGAGTTCAAAGTTCTCCGCTTAGTCCTGTTGACTCCAGGAACTTCCAGATTTTCTGAGCGGGGAGCATCTGTATCTCTTTTGGTTGCATAATATGCTGCCCTAGATAGATACTTCTGCGGTGCATGAGTGGACCGCACGAGCAGAGGATGTGCATAGCAGTTTCCTCTGTCTCATGGCATAGTCTGCACATGTACAACCATACATAATTTTAACAAATAAAAGTTATAATAGAAAATATTTAGGTGTTTGGTGTTCGTCGTATCCTCGTAAATGGAAGCACAAAACTACCTGAACATTAGTTTTGTTATATCCAGACTTTCTGCCACACACTGACTAAGGTACTCTTCTCTATATGTTAGCATATCATACTTGTCTAACTTCAACACAACAACAAAAATCATACACAGGGAATTTCGATGGATATAGCTTACTATATTAAAAGGTCCTGAAAGTGACATAAATAAGCTTTTTACCTAGTTTTTTAATATACTAAGTACTCAGTAGTAATATACAATTTGAAGTCAATACAAAACAAAATAATCCTGTTGTTACCGTAAAGGGGGAGCGAATCCTAAGGGCTATTTCACGGTAAAACTTAGTTACCTTTGTATGTACAACAAGATCTTCGATATTCCCATACGTGTTCTTCTTCATGCCACTGGCTCTGGTTGCGACCCAGCCGCCGAGCGTGGAGAACTCGTAGGAGTCAGGTTCATGGCCAACTGTGAACCCTCTCGCCCGCATCTCCCGTTCTAAATCTTGACCCACAATACCAGCCTGCAAAATATACATACAATATGTCTCACTACTATTATAAATGCAAAAGTTTGTATGTGTGTATGTTTGTTACCCCTTCACATAGAAATGTTGTATGAAATTTAGTATACAGGAAAATGACCTGGATCTGAAATAGCACATAATCTACTAGTAGTAATAAAATCTGTCGAGGCTAAGTCGCTACTACTAAATTATAAAACTGCCTCGGTGGTCTAGTGCCTAGCATGTACGGCTGCAGATCCGGAGGTAAGGGGTTTGAGTCCTGGGTTGGACCGAGTTTAATTATTGAATTTTTCTGTTAAGATATTCTCAGTAGAGTTGGAATGTTGGCTGTGTTATATCCCCTTCTTTATAGGATGAATTTCGAAAAATGCTAAAACATGTATTCATTTAATTTTATGGAAGAGCATATATACTAATTTTCAAGTAATTCAGATTATAAATATTTTTTGGATTGTATTAAAATGTGTTTTCCTTTTCCCGTGGGAATGAGATAATCTCCCGCGGTAAAAGTACAGCCTATGTCACTCTCCAGCCCTCCAACTATCTCCACACAAAAAATTACGCCAATCCGTCACTCCGTTTTAACGTAAAAGAAGGACAAACAAACAAACACAGTTTCACATTTATAATGTTATAGTATGCATATACATATAAAAAAATCCAACAATTTAAAGAGACCTCGATTCAAATATCTCTTACAGATATTTTACCGATAAATAACTTTTATCAGATTGAATTGCTTGGCATGAATATTGTGAAACGTGTTGATAAAATTTTGGTATTATCATAGATTTTATCAATTGGCTTTTAACCTGTATGTATATTAAATCAGTCATTTAGTCCAGTGCCAGGTATTACAGTGAAACAGTAGCAACGTGCCCTCGATTCATTATGCCGTAATTTTTTCAACGATCTCGTAAGTTACAGTGACTACGGCAATTTACCAATCTTTTTTTCTAGGAATAAGACACTCTAAATCAATGAATGAATTAAATAATAAATATGTCCAGTTCGTAAAACCGTAAAAAGTGTACAAGTTTCCGCATATGTTAGTATTACAGGAATAACAGAAACCCTTTGATTTTCCGGTACGTTTGAAATGTTTAATTACGACTTAGCTCTTGTGTAATAATTTCTTATTATTATTTAATCTTATTGAATAGAGGCAGCATTATATAAGAACATTAAAGATTTACAACATAGAACTGTCCCCTATTCCGAAGGAACCCTTCTGTCTCTTTTGACCATTTGTCCCTGTAAGTTCCAGAGATAAGCGGGTACAAACAAACAGTCCAACGCCAACAAAATAACATTTTTTTTTAAATTGTGGCTGGGCTTTTGGTGCTGAGGAACTATTCAGATGGTCTCAATAAGAGTATGTAAATTGACATAAAAATTTTAAATTTCCATATAGTATTTTTATTACATTACCTGAATTTTCGCCAACAACTGTTCTTTGTCCAACCATAATATAGAGTTCATGTCACTAGTGTCCAATGTTAGAATAGGCCGTGGTTCATGTTCGGGGCAACTCACTGCGCCCGACACTGATGTGCCGCCTCCGAAGGGAATGATAACAAAATTATGTTTTGATGCACATTGCACTATCTTTTTTACCTAAAAAGAGATTTGAATTAACTTTTTGGTAAATTACAAGTTAAAGAAATATAGCACCTTTTTCTGTAAACTATATAGGTCTAGATTTGTAAATAATAAAATTTATTTAAAATATATAAGTGTAAAACAATAATAACGTTGCAGACTCTTTAGCATTCAATAGATCTACCTTTAAACATACAGGGAGAAGAAGTTAAATATTTACATACAGTTTCAATAATATGTTCGTAAAATCAATAAGAATATTTTTCTAGGTATAGATTTCTACAACTCAAGTTTAAGTATAACGTATATTAGCAATTTTATACTTCTCTTAGTAATGTTATATACCTACATTAAATAAATTTGCATTTTTAATGGGTAAAATTACTACACCAAAGTCAAAATCATTTTACAAATAATCCAATTTTTAACGACTGGAGGTATAAATATTGTATTATAAAAACCTTCTTCTAATGTAGCAACATTCATTTATAAGTTAGCAAAAATTGTAACAAATGCAAGTAATACATATAATCCGAAAAGATAGTTTTATTTAAAAATGTCAAACATTCGCGTAAATCTAAGAAAGTATTAAGAAAGTATTAATACATAATAATTCTACGTGTATCGAAATACAATTTGTTGCTAAATATTTATAAATTGTAATTAAGTACCATTGGAAACGTAACAGAGCGTCATAGTCGCATTTTAAGCGACAAAACGGAGAAAAAAATAATAATATCGTTACTTTAATGTTTTTTATTATGTATATAATAAAATTCAATTACGAGTATTTCCTATTGACATTGATACTATTATTTAGAGTTTAGACAAATAATTTCTTAGACAAGTTCACACTAATTTTGTAAATTTGCAAAGTTTGGTGAAAAAATATTTTTTTTTACATTTTAACGAATTAACCGAATGAATTTAAAAATGAAGATAGCTTATTTTCTGGATAACTATATATTTTCCACAACGTATGTACCTTTTACGTAAGCGCGGGCAAAAATTAGTGTACCTTAGTAAAAAATCTGTGACCTACCTCTTCGTGACTGCTCGGCCAGATAACACCATCGGGTATTCTAGGAAAGCTATTGTTCCGTAAATGGTAGATATCCTTTAAAGTTTGTCCGTGTGCTCTTATTAATCTATCCATACCATCTATACTAACTGGAGCTATATTATCTAGTTCTTCTTTAATATCACTTGGCAGTCGACTTTCTGGGAATGATGTGGGCATTGGTGGAACTTCCGGTGACTTTCCTATATCTACGTTGAAATGCTCCTTTATCCATTGTAGAGCATGAGGCAAAGTTTTACCGGATAGTAAATATCTGAAAAGCATTAAGTTTATACAATATTTGTTATGTCAATAGTTTTCTAATACTATTATTTGTTATTGAGTTTCCATACAACGATTTGCTTTAACTAGACTAGAACAAATTTGTGTATGCTCACTGTCTTCGTATGTCTATACTAGTGAGGGACAAAGCCATTGTGGAAAGACGCTCACGGACGTAGAATAGATAGCAAAATACTCATTAATATTAAAAATATTTCGACTTTCTTTAAAACTACGTTGTCATTTTGCACATAATTTAACACGCTCATAAGACTATTAAATATATAAATACATACAACAAATTAACTGAAAATCTTAATAATAAAAGCCATTACTTGATACGTGTATGATTTGCGTATTTAATTTTGCTGTGTTGATTGCTTCCCCGTACAAACTTTCATCCTCTTAAGGGATGATTTCCGGAATAAAAACTATTCTTTGTTCTTCCCAGGGTCTCTAACTATCTTCTTACAAAATTTGATCTAAATCGGTCCAGTAGATCCAAAGATTACACCCTAAAACTTCACAAACTCACAACCTTTACCTCTTTATAATATTAAGTATAGATTAGTAGTTATACCTAAATGTTAAATCTTCATAATTTATTCGCAAACTTGACAAACTGTTTTATAATTAGGAATTTACATCATTCTAGATGAACTTGCTTTTTTCACGACCATATTAATTATTATAATTATATAAAACTAACAATTATGAGAAATAATTTATCTAGATAAATAAACACATTCAATCCAAGGCACGTTGGCTATTGGATAGGAAGTTACAATTTAGCTTGGTCGCCCACGACCTACGTGCTGATCCAGTCATATCTTGTTGACTCCACTTTCTTGTGACCTGCGCGGCTATTGCCAACTCGCCAATTGGTCATGAATACACTATATTATATTATTTGACACATCTATACCATAGCTATGCAAAGTGGCATCATTGATAATCTAATGATAATTTATTATTACTTAATACTTAATTAAGCAATGGAAGTGTCTTAACTTAACATTCATAAGGTCTTCGGGTCACTTTTGACTCGTTTTAGAAGACAAACATTTATTTTTTTCAGGAAATTAGCATTAGATAAAGTAAACAGCTGTTACACTTGTAGAAGACAAAACGATGGCCTCAAGAAGTATTTAGTAACATGGTGGACATATATTTATACTAATATTATAAATGTGAAAGTGTGTTTGTTTGTCCTTTTTTCACGTCGAAACGAAATGACGTATTGGCGTGTTTTTGTATGGAGATAGTTGAAAGGCTGGAGAGTGACATAGGCTACTTTTTACCGCGGGAGATTATCTCATTCCCACGGGAATACACGTTATAATACAACCCAAAATATTATTTATGATCAGAATTATCTACTTGAAACTTGGTATTAATGTTCTTTAATGCAATTAAATAAATACTTGTTTTAGCATTTTTTGAAATTCATCCCATAAGGAGGTAAAATAGTGGATTAAGTTTGTTTGAAACCTACCTTTTTAGTTTTTTTTAGTTTTAGCGCGAGCGAAGCCGCGGGCTATATATATATATTACATTGTATGTTGATATATGTATTATTCATTCATGACTGTCAATTGTAGGTGGAAGGAATGCTTAGCAAAATTTATGAAAGTATGTACCTATATAAAACAACGTAGTAAAGTTCGAGATATATGTATAACATACATAAATAAATAAGAATCCGTATTATTATATTATTAATATTATAAATGTGAAAGCTTGTGAGTATGTGTGGAGGTTTGTTACTCTTTCACGCCAGAACGGCTGAACGGATCTGGATGAAATTTGGCACAGAGATATAGTCTCGAATAACACATACGATACTTTTTATCCCGAAAAAATGTACGGTTCTCGTGAGATAAGTTTGTTTACTAATTATACTAATATTGTAAAGATATAAAGTTTGTGAAATGTGAGTTTGTGACGTTGTAGGGGGTAATCTCTGGATCTACTGGACCGATTTAGATGACATTTCGTAAGACGATAGTTTGAGACCCTGGGAAAGACATAGAATACTTTTTATCTCGGAAAGCGTTCTTTAAGAGGGTGAAAATGGGGATGAAATTTTGTATGGGGAATCACCCTAGGGACGAACCCGAGCGAAGCGAGGGTGAGTCGCTAGTTCTTCATAAATTAAAAATATGTATGAATCCACTTAAAAATTATCATTACTTTTGACTCAATTTGAATTTTTATTGTTTACCATTACTAGTTCAAATCTAATCTAAAGCACGGTACCGTCAGTAATATTACAGACTGTAATATAAAAAACACTTGTATTTTAAACTTTAAAATACTTAAGCCAATAACAGCTGTAGGTATAGGTATAACTATGGTATAATATTGTCTTTTAAACAGTTTACATGTTAACATGAAAAAGAAATTGTTAGAAAACATAATTGTTCCTTTTAAAATGAGACATACATACATATCACGACTGCTAACAAATAGTGAAGTGTGATAAAATTCTATGATTCGATAAGCTATCGTTACTAAAATTTTAAAGTGAAGTACTCGTAATATAGTTATTTATTACATTAAAGTTAAATTATTCTAAAAAGGTTAAGCAATAATTACGCAAGAAAATTTACTTTAGAAATACATATCCGTGTTATTTTCATGCATACCAATTGTCATATCAAAATATTGTTGTACATATTTTCAACAAGAAAGACTTAGAAATTTTACAACAGCAATTATTCCCACATTCGCATCTCAGCGCGACACAGGATGTGCAATTATTTCTTCCTCCATAATTGTAGAGTCAGACCAAATAATGGAATAACTCGTACAATGTCTTTTAACAACTTTTGTTTGTTTTTCTAATACATAATACCTTGTGAGGGTATCGATTACTATTTTCTAAAAGGTCGGATCAGACTATAACTAAGTCGTCACGTCGTCTTTTGTCTTTTCTACGTTTTAAAGAGCATCTGTTAAATATATTTTGAAATAAACATTATATGGGTAGCAAAGAAAAAATCGCGTGGCGACTTCTGACCAGAAAATATTTACAATACATATATGTATTATATTATGTATTGCGTTGCTTAGGTGTTTGTGTTTTATTCAAATAGTTGTATTTCGATATTCGATTTATTTATATATTTTTTTATTTAATCATTTATTTCAAGTAATATTTACAAAAAGATCTTAAATATGTAAACAGAGGCCCATAGCATAATATATACCTTAAAACTAACATATATATTAATTATAACTATTTAACACGTAGTCCAGACATATTTAGCATATTTAATTTTAATCAAATATTACCTTACATTATTTTAAAATAAGTATAAATTATAGTGTATAAATATGTATATACTATGATTTATTAATAATAAACGCACCTGTTTCCTGTAAAACTAATTTTTTCGCCGTCCATTTTGAACATGGAATCTTTGTAACCCCATCCATACCATTTAAGTAAGTCTTGCCTGTGTGAAAATGAAAATTTTTAATATCATCATTGTTACATGTTTATGTGTAGTTAAATGTATACATACCTATAATAAAACTCTAAATGAGTCGAATCTGAACATGAAATATTTCTTGGAAAAACTTATTGAAAGTTTTCAATCAACAGTAGTATTGTTGATCGAAGGAAATAGTCATTGTTATCGATACAGAGGCCGAATTTCGAAATTTTAATCTATAGTTTTTAGAATTTTTGTCTGGCTGTCTGTCTATGACCGCATCACGAGATAACCACCGGATAGGTATCTAATCTCTGAGAAATCTATACTAAACGTTAAAACGTATTTTTACAATTTAATTTTATAACTTACATTCAAAGGCGTTTTTTTAATAATATTGTTTTTATTATTATTATATACCAAAACTATGCTAATGTTTAAATATTTACCTATTAGAATAACATAAGCATTCTTATGTATTTATTATATAATTCCGATTAAAAGGTAAAATTTTAATAATTGTTAAAAGGTAAAATTTTAATACAAGGTCCTTAAAAATATTTTAAACAATTCAAATTAAGTAATTTGAATTATTTAACATATTTAACCCCTTTTAGTACTTTTTAACCCAGCCTTTTAACTTCATTAAAAATAGGTACCCATTAATATTTTCAACCGACTTCCAAAAAGGAGGAGGTTCTCAATTTGTCGGATTTTTTTTATGTATGTTCACACATTACTCGAAGACGCCCGAGCCGATTTGGATTTTTTTTTGTTTCGAAGGGTCCTTCCCACGTGGTCCCATTTAAATTTTATCAAAATCGGTCGAACGGTATTTAAAAAAAATCAACAATTAATTATTATTTTTTAAATAAATTGCTTAATCGAATATGTTATTAAAAAACTTTCTTCTTACAAATTACATGCTTATTACATCTACACTAAAAATGGAAAAAGAAAAATATAAAAAAAACCGACTTCCAGGCACTAAAATGTAAAAAATAACTAAACGGGGGTTTCCATTTAGAATAGATACATAATCTAGGCACCGACTTCGAAAATATCTGATTAGGTATCTATTCTAAATAGCAAGAAAAAGAAAATACTAAGTTAATTTTTTAAAGCGATAAGTAGGAGGAGAACGAGGATGTCCTATCATAGGAGTTTTTTATTCAACCTGAGAATAGCTGACACGTTGACAATAAACTTTAGTTATATTATTGCAATATTGCATAAAATGCTATTTATGGAGAAGGTACATGTACCCCGTTCTATGGAAAATATCTAATATGATCACTCTAATTTTTTGTTCTTTATGAGCAGGTTTAGTCTGATCTTGCCATTTATCCACGCCTAAAAGCTGCCGAGTGATACCGATAACAACTTAATTCAAAAAAATATTTGTGTAGGTTCGTATAAAATAACAAGAAGTGTTAGGTACTTAATGTCTAACTCATACCGCTCTTGTTGGAGATATTTAATTTTATTAAGGGTCAAATCGTTTTCTAAATTGTAGGTAAAAAAATTACAATAGAAATGGATGTTTGTAAATGTTTATAATAAATTATACTATAATACAAACATTTACAAACATACAAGTAGGTACATTTTAAAACAATCAGCTCACAGTTTAGTAATGTCGATATTTACGCTCAATTTACAAAGCAAATGTTATTGTTTAATAGATAAATATACGGCAAATACATTTATGACTTTGAAGCGTGGCATTTAATTTAGCTTATTTAAACAGATGTAAACAGGGATCAGGTATAAATTCAAATTAAATATTAAATCATAATACTTTGAAGAACTACTTTATTATTCTTTTCTTAGCTGCATTGTCAAACTATCGGTATCAAGTGTGAAGCGTTTGGTTCGTCAAAATAAAAAAGTTTATTTTACACCGCTGGAGCCAATTTTGAATGAAGGAATGAATTTTAGTAGAGATAGAGTGTCGCGAGAATAAGTTGAAGGGGGTGAAACGAAAGTATGAAAGTCATATATGTATATCTAATATGTATACATATAATAAAATTCTGAGTTGAATCTGTACATTAAATATTTTTTGGAAAATCTTATAGAAATAGTCATTTTCTTGATGCAGAGGCTGAATCTATAGTTTTTAGAACTTTCGTCTGTCTGTCTGGAAACGCATCACGAGAAAACCAATGGGCAGATTTTGATGTAATTTGGTATCATGACATCTGGTTATCCGGGTCAATATATAGATACTTTTTACTGCGGGAAAATATCTCTTCTCTAAGAAATGTATACTAAACGTTAAAACGTAACTAAGGACGAACCCGAGTGGAGCGAGAGTGATTCGCTAGTATACATACTCATATATATGTGCATATCATACATTCGTAATAATCTTATTATTCAGCAAATTATTTTATTAACAACTAGATGAGTCAAAAATATTGTCCTGTCCGAGTTCCAATAAATTTCGTTTAGGATATAAGAAATTGCATAGGAAAGCATTTTCAGTTTCTCCTGATTTTCCCAATTTTTGGGGTAAATTTTCCATTTTTTACCCTAACAACCTTACACAAGATATAATAAACATAAAAAAATTAAGCAAATTAGTCAAATGGATCCAACTGTTTTTAAGGGATGCGCGCGCTTATCAAAGAACGGTATTTCATTTGTATTACGTAGAACATTAGTTTATTATTTTTTAACTGACGATTTTTTAATTGCGGGTTCAGCAGTTTAACACTTTTTACTCAATTTACTTTTATTCGTAATGGCGTGTCTGTTTCAAATTATATGACTTTCTTCTCTAAATAAACCCCATCTACAAGACCATTTTGTATAAACCTTGAATATGTCGTACCACCAGATTACATTCCGATAAGCCGATTTGAAAAGAAATTTGGCAAGTGGCAACTGTTTCCCTCCGCATCACCACAGGTATCTTTTGTAGAAGTTGTCTGGTACAATTGCAGTATAAATTATTATAAAAATCACACACAAAAAAATTACCATAATGATGGCAACAGACATTACCAGACTAGTAGTGTCAATCACGACTTACTTTGATTAAGTACTTTTTGAATTTCTTGACCGTATTGTTTATGTCGAAGTTGAATTTTGTAGTTAGACTATAAAATATAAACGAAATTTGAGCCGAACAGTTACGTTTAATTTGACTTGTGAGTAGACTCAAGTTATCAATTTTCGCCCATCAGCTTTAGTAAATATCACTTATATAAAGATAAGTATTGGCTTACAAAACAATAGACATCGTCTCACAAGGAAACATGCAACGTCCCCGAGAAATGTCGCTACACAGGAGAACATGCGTCACCCTACTTTTTGGGCAGTAATTATAGACTTGTCAAGTTGTACTGAAAATTGAAATAAAGGCTGGCGCGCGCTCCATATCGGATGTGCGAGAGGAACAGATAACCCAAATACGTTTAATAGCAGAAAGAAAGAGAGATAGCATGTATTGTTGATGAATATTGGAAGGGATGCATGTCATGTGGTTACTTGAACACCTACAGTAAATAAATTCGACCTAAGATAATGTAATATTGTATTTATTGTACAATGTAATGCTTACAATGCTTGTAAAATAAAAGTGAAGGAAAGCCTGAAGGATTTAAATATTGTCTTACTACACATGTTAATCAGCCGGCATATCTTGAGCGATGTTTATCTAATCGCTTTATAGATATATATCATATTTTAGAAGCCAACGTACGATTACATTTAGGCACATGTCACTGAGGCAGTGATTTACATTTAATTTTTTGTTTTCTGACATTGATTTAATTATTTAGAGAGCTTGCGATCCTAATTCAAACTCAAGCCTTCGTTTATCCTACGCAGACGGTATTTTGTTTTAAAATCTTATCATAACTAAAAACTAATAATGATATTTCTTTAACAATATACATATATAATATTATTTAAACAATGAATGACAATTTGTAAGACGAAATATATTAGCTGCAGCTTTCAGTAAGGAAGCCCAATAGGGGATACTCGTGATTTTAAACTCTTACTGTAATATTCACCTTCTGGTTAAGTTTGTTTATATAATTATTATATGTTTTTATTTGAATGTTGTGTACAGATATAATTGGACAACAAATATAAAATGATATTTTTAGTTTTAATACGTAGATGTAATTTTTTTAATTTGTTTTCTGTTTCTGAACCTAAATAAAATAAAATTTCGGGATTTAATCAAGCGCGGCAGATTAACTTAGGGGGGATACCTTGCACTCTGTGAGTACCTCCACCATAAGTCCTCCGTAACAGGTCGCGCGTCTAGGGCAGTCGGTCAGAATTAAAAAAATATATTTTGATGATTTATAAATACTTGACCGCGTCAGATTAAGGTGTGGTGTGCTAATTACATGCTGAAAAGTGTGCAATTTAATAAACTAGCGATTTGCACAAACCGAAGAAACAAATATCGTCCATAAAGTTTCTTGATGATTAATGTAATTAGCCTGCCACATTTTAAATCCAACGGTCAATCAATTTAGACTAGGTATTTTCAACTAATAAAACTATTTTGAATGCTGAAAAAAAATTTTACTTCGTCAATTTTCTATTTTATCTATAATTTACTCAAGAAAGTTCTTGCTTATTGATTGTAATTTAAAACATAAAATGTAAATTGCAACTAAAATTACAACTGAAAATAATTATACATATTCTTTAATACCTTTTTTATGCATTTTTTATTTTGTCTTTTGTTATTTTATAAGTACAATCTGGTAGACGGTAGTTACTAATGAGTTACTTTAAAACTTGTATGTACAAAAATATTCCGTCTTGTTACAATTACGGAAGCTGGACACGCAACGGTACGACCACATTTTAAAGTAAATAATAATTATGATTATATTCGAATACAAGTATTTGTAAAAAAGTACCGGAATAAGCACGTTTGCTAGTAATTTATTTAAAAATACTAAAGTCTTTGAAATTTGGCATTTAACCCACATGAAAACGTATTTTTTATCGAATATTATGAATGATATTTAACTGGACTACTTCCTTTGGCTTATGTCTCTAGATGTTGTAACATTGTAAAATTATATTGGATTATTGGATTTACATACATAAGTGACGGAACTACATATAGGTACATAATATGTAGAGAGGGGTCCAGTAGCCAGTAGGCAAAATTTTATATTTTATTTCATACATATATTATTTCTAGTGATTAAAACAGTAATTAGTAATGTATAATATAATATTTCGACTATATCCACAGTAAAAAAATTACTTACGAGATTATTTTTTTACGAACATTCAAATGTAAAGGTATGTTTGTAAAAATATAATATCTAATGCTACGGAATTAATTTAAAAGCGACTCCATCAACCCATAGGATAAAATTCGTAATTCATTAAATTATTGCCACACTATGAATGTACATTTATGTTGTATTTATTTCAAAAACTACAATAGCTGAAAAGTGAAAATATCTATCTGCTCTAACTACGCAGGCGTATTAATAATACTATAAGAATAATTTTTTTATCTTAAAATATATATTTAGTGACCAACAAATAAATTAAATTGTTTATTTTGTTAATTTAAAATAATAAAATTTGGCGCGAAGTTTAATGATCTGATGTTTGTTTACATTATTGTTAGCTACTACAGTATACATTAAAACAGTTTAGATATTTTTAGAATAACGCCTATTCAATTATATCCTGAAAACTGGGACAAGTCATGAAGTCACCCGGCATCGGACGCTAGTAATTAACACGCATATTATTGCGTTTTACACTTAAAGTATAGTTTGCAAAATATATATTATAATAATTTTATATTAATTCTTATATAATTCAACTAATGAAATAACAAAAATAACCCACCGTCGTCTAGGAATTGCACTCTTAACTTTGATAACAGTTTCACAATTTTTCCCATCTACACTATTTTTTCTTATTTTATCACTGAAAGTGTTTAATTTATCACTCATCGTTTCTGTTAGAGAACTATTATTGTTTTCTTTATTTTCTATCATGTTTTTAGTTCTCGATACAAGACTAGATGACATTTATACTTGACGCTACAATTATAGATTTGTGTCCAGAACATTTGCTACGATTTTTATAAATCGCGCAACCCGCCGCGCATCAGCAGTGTTGCCAGAGTGATGAGTGATAAGAGCCTGAAAATTTTTTAAGCTTAAAATTACGTTGTGGTAATTTTCACCTTACAGGTCTTAAATTATAATTATTATTATCTTATATTTTCTTTTAGATATACAATAATTTAAAAAATATTTATAAATATGTTTATAATTTTTTGAGGCAGTTTTCGTTTTTTTTTTATACAGGGTACCATAAAACTATGAAAGAATGTGAATAGTTTTTAATTTAGTTTTTCTTTTTATTAAATTTATTTTTTATTTAATTTTTAATTGTTAAAACAATATTAGAAATTATTATCCCTTTTTAAATTTCGACGCAGCGTAGGACGAACCCTATTATATATTTATATAAAAACCTGAAATCATAAAAAACTCTATCTAAATTTAATTAGTGATGTTTTATACTTGCAGCAATAAAAATAAATAAATATGTCAATTTTTAAATTCATTCGTTTTTTTTTGTATTTACCTAATAAGTGATTCTTGAAAAGTTACAGTTTAACTAAAAATGTAAAAAATAATGTAATGTTCTGGCAACCCTCCACGGGTGTCTGAATTTTTGTCGATAAAGCAGTTGGTGCGCTTTACAGCGGACAGCGGCATCTTTTGGCTTATTATTAAACTAGCTTGTGTGAGTATGACTATATGATAACAATAAGAAAAACTAGATGGCGCTATTATTTTTTATAAATAAAAGTGCACAAATATTTTATATTTTATTTATTCGTATGATAAACATGATATTCAAATTAATCGAATTAAACTAATATTAAAGTACTATTTAATGACTATAAATTACAATTGTTTTGCGAATCAAATAAGTTGTTGTATTTCATCTAACCTTTAATAAGTACAAGTCATAATTAATGAATATTATTAAAATATAAAAACACAATGAAAAAAAGTAAGCCAATTTAGAGCCTCAATTTTCCAAAATAGAGACATTTCTAAAATATTTTGTTTACTAATGCGCAACTGCAATTTGAAGTAACAAGCTATTATGGCTTACAAACATATTGTAACATTTATAAAATGGTCTCTATTTTAGTAGCACAAAATTTGAGAAAACACTTAACCTATTTGTGGCATCGTATTCTTAAACTACAATAATTTAAATTCGTGTCGCAGTCTTAATTAAATATCTAAGCACCTATTGATTGTAATATTTCAAAGCATAGTTCTATTTACAGGAGCAAGTAGCATACTCCAAAGTACATGTAATTAGGTAGAGATGAGTAAGCATTTCATGTACACAATCAGTTTATTAGTTTATACTTCATTTATTTCAACATAACTCATATGAACAAGCTTAAACAATGAGAGGTTCGTCTCATTGCGACTTTTCTCCGGTGGTGGCAGCACAAGCCTGATAATTTGATTGATAAGCTCTGCGGCATTTAGCAATTTTGCAAAATCTTTTAAAGATTTTGAGCAGATATTTAATCAGACTACAAGTGTAATTTTTATACGGCTTTAATAAGAGTAGGTTAAAGTTCAAAATTGTACTCAAGTAAACATTACATTTTTTTTAACCTTTGAGGTATAATGATAACCGTTATTTTTATTTCTTTCTAAGCTTGTGGCCCACATCGCACAACAAAAAATGATGTATATGAGTACTATAAGGACACTCCCTTACTCATTTTCAAGAATTTTGAAACATAAATAGTAAAGATCGTCCCGTGATAACGATGATGCTAGTTGTATTGTAGTATTATTTCCCATATAATGGCAGTCTCTATCTGCAAATATCCCGTAAACATTTTAGGTGTTCTCCGTGTAAACCAGTTTCAAATGTGTGTGGCTACTTTAAAAAAATTGCGCTGGATTTATAAAGCATAGAAAATTGTTCCAACTTCTTTCTCAAACTCATAAGTTAGTGGCGCCATCTGGGCTGCTTTTTCCATGAAATCTTCTAATACACTTCCAGGTAAATTTCTAAGAAATTCAATTTCAACGAAATCTATTGTTAACTGTAACGCGGTGTGTCCGCGGTCGTGGAGGGATTAAACTATATAATAATAAGAGTATAAAAGCTTAAGCTGGTATTAATGTTAGTAACTTGAAATTTGATAGACACATATTTCATTTCATAAGTACATTCAGTTTCAATTACAACGTTATTCCATTCGTACATATATGTTTTCTCAATTCATACTTTTTTCATATTATTCAGTATAAAAAAAAGATTAAAAAAAAAATATATATAATTGTTAAATTAAACATTAAACCTAGAAATGCGCTACATCCTTTTAACAAACTTCAGTCAATATCAACTGTTAAGTTAACAATCCCACAGATGTTAAAATTAATTATAATATGCACTGTACGGTAAAAAAGCACTGGTCTGTTATCAATGAAGCACTTTAGCATTATTCTGTGTATAACATAAGAACAAGTCGACTGGAATAAGATATGTTTTAAGATTATACTGAATACATGTAAAATTGATTGTTATTGGAATGTTATTGCATTAATTACGCCTTCTTGATTATATTTGCTCAAAAGAATAAAACTTTTTATTTTTATTGAAATTTATTCTACGTAGTTTGTTAGTATTAATTTTTATTTCGTATTGTTTAGTTCCTTATTTATTAAAAGGCTTATTTAAAAAAAAATGCAATAACATAATGTCTAACTACAATAGTATATAGGTAGGTACATTTAATATTTAAAAACAATAAAATTAAGGCAGTAACCTATGGTACTCCGCGGAGTTCTTATCTTTATCGATTACGTAAAACGACTTAGGTTTTCCGTTACCAGAAAAGTATTTCCTAAAAGACGATTTCTTAGAAGGCACATAGTAAGCTAAGGCATCTATAGCATTGGGGTGACTCTTCGGCCATGTTGGCGTACTTTCAACATTGACTGCATCATCATCCAATCTCGCTTGTGGGCGGTTTTTGGCCAGCTTGTGTAGAACGGGAAGATTCCAATGGTATACTCTAGCTGGCTTACCATTGCTGGTCATTTGTAGTGGTAAAGTGCGTGCCGAGGCAGGTGCCAGTTCGACATGACTGTAATAGTTTGTGTTTGGCGGTAACTTGATGACGTACATTCTTGAATCACCAGTAGCATGCCGCCTGCCTTGCTCCGCGAGGCGTTTTCTGTGATGTGCTGCTGGTATCCTCAGTTTCTTTAAACCCAAAGAGCTGAGAAGTTCATGAGTAGTTGGATCTTTCTTTTCTAATGTAAGGTTGTCGGTACTAGATGATGCGGCTACGGCGTAAGTCACTACTACTGCCAGTAGCAGTGTTGCCGATCTGTAACAAATAAAGTAATAGGTTAGAAATTGGTATTTTATCAGAGGTTTTTTCAAGTGTCTTGTAAATAACTAGATTCTATGCAATATTGATCATACTGGAATGCATTTGTCTATAAAAGGTCGTTAGAGAGCTTTTATCTTGGAAATACAAACAATACATTATTTTACCGTATATGGTGTTTTTATTTCTTTACTTAAAGTTATAGAATCTATGACCGTGTATAGTGTGTTCTCATACATTAACTATCTTCTCAAGTTGTTTGCCGAGTTCGCTCAGAAAAGGCTCTTGAGAAGTTAAACAGGCGAGCAAAGTCGTGTCCCCGTTGTATGGCCGTTCTCAAGTCTTCGGAGCAATTAGCATACTCTATGAAGTTATGTTAATATAGCAACGAGCATAATGATTGCTATAAAATACAACCTCACACACAATTAATTGTTTCTAATTGTAATTTTATAAGACACTACGGTTATTTATTATGTCGCAAAATCCAAAAAAAAGTTGAAAATGTCCTCGGTGCTATTAATGACTAAATGATAATAGGTAGGTACTTCTGATTTCTGAACAACCTCTGCTAGGTTGCCAATTTGGAGATCCATAATCCACACAAAACACATGCAGCCAGTAACATGTGGCCAACTTAATAGGTACTCGTACCGTACCCAGGGACGATCTTCGAGAACTGGATACATAGGACGCGGTGGATCTGGCTGGTTAAAATAGTTGATAACATCTTTAATTATTTTTATTAAGTTCAGTACATTAGTGTCTTTGTAATACCTGGTGCCTATAATATATAAGATATGCTTGGCCCAACAGATAAATGGTATACTTAATCTATACTAATATTATAAAGAGGTAAAGTTTGTGAGTTTGTGACGTTGTAGGGGGTAATCTCTGGATCTACTGAACCGATTTAGATGAAATTTGGTAAGAAGGTAGTTTGAGACCCTGGGAAGATATTTTATCACGGAAATCATCCCGTAAGGGGGTGAAAATGGGGATGAAAGTTTGTATGGGGAATCAAGCTAGGGACGAACCCGAGCGAAGAGAAGGTGAGTCGCTAGTAATTGATACTCAAATTCATTCGAATACAATTGGGTAATTCAATTCTTCAATTTGTAAATTATAAACATTATGGATTAGCTATATACTGTATCTCTGTCCTATCGTCTCGGTCTATCATTGGTATAAGTATGTCAAGTAATTATTTTTTTAATCAGTTTACTGGATTTTTAACCGACTTACAAAAAGGAGGACGTTCTCAATTCATCGGAATCTTTTTTTTATGTATGTGCAACGATTACTCGAAGACGCCTGAATCGATTTCGATTTTTTTTTGTTTCAATGGGTATACCTCCCGGGTGGTCCCATATAAATTTTATCGAAATCGGTCGAGTGGTTTTAAAAAAAATCGATAATACATTTTTTTTTAAATAAATTGTTTTATCGAATATGTTATTAAAAAACTTTTTTCTTATTAAAGAAAACTATCTTTTCGGGTTATTTCGCGGATTTATTTTGATTTTTGGTTCACGACGTTTCGAATGCTTTACAGCATCCATGGTCACGGGAGAGACTGAGGTGTTACATGTCTTGAATGTATAGTTGTTACAGACAGCCTACCCACAATTAACAAACAACTATACCTTCAAGACATGTAACACCTCAGTCTCTCCCGTGACCATGGATGCTGTAAAGCATTCGAAACGTCGGGAACCAAAAATCAAAATAAATCCGCGAAATAATCCGAAAAGATAGTTTTATTTAATAATGTCAAACATTCGCGTAAATCTAAGAAAGTATTATGTAAACTTTTTTCTTACAAATTACCTGCCTATTACGTCTACACTAAAAATGAAAAAATAAAAACTTAAAAAAAGAACCGAATTCCAGGCACTAAAATGTTAAAAATAACTAAACGGAGGTTTTCATTTAGAATAGATACCTAATCAGATATTTTCGAAGTCGGTGCCAGCCGACAATATTTTAAGATATGAAGATCTAATTGAAAACCTCCGTTTAGTTATTTTTTACATTTTAGTGCCTGGAAGTCGGTTTCTTTTTTATTTTTTTTTAAATTGGCCAATGTAAATAATTCGTATTTGTCTCAACCTTCATATGCAACCTACACTTTATTTATCTGTTTTACCTGGGTTAGGTCTAGATATTGTGTACAAGTAAGAGAAAATACACAAGATGTGTGAATATTTTTTGTCATATATCAAAAGTAGCCATTTTTTTACTGTGCTGTTGCATCTTCATAATTTAATTTTATTGTAGTAAACATATTTAATTTTCTTGCATTCATTTTAAAGATAAAATGTTGCAAATTCTTAAGTCGAGCTTACGAATTGCTATAAAGAATGTTATACTTATAACGTGTTAAATGGTCGAGTAGACTCTCAGTGCATTTTCTTATAATTAATTATATCTTGATTGAGAAGTTCCTTTTACCTACAGCTTTACACTTTTAAAGTACCTAATAGCACATTAAGTCTTGGCAAGTATACCTATATAATATAAATTTAAAGCAAAAAAATGGTTAACTATTTAATAGAAAGACAAGAAGGTACGATTCGGATCAAACCAAATTGTGACATATGTAAGCAACTATACTTATTGTGAGTGCGTCCCTCAGTACACACGTTTTAATTATTTCGAATGGTAATATTTTTTCCCTAATATTTTTTCTAAAATAAAAGTAGCCTAAGTTACTCCTTATAACATCAGCTACCTGCCAGTGAAAGCCCCGTCAAAATCAGTGCAGCTGTTTCAGAGATAAGCCAGAACAAACAGACGGACAGACCAAAATTAAAAAAAATGTGATTTCTTTTTAGTACTTATGTAATTTCATAGGCATTTAGTAAAAAAGTTTTTACATTACAGACACTTCAATTTTATTTATTTGTATCTAGGTACGATAAAGTCTTAAGAAATAGATGTAATATGGGATATTACCTATAGTACATAGGTCCTATCTAGGATCCTTCGTAAAATATGCAGAATTTCCACATTTTTAATTTGCAACAAAAACTTTGGAGCCTGTCCCAGCTTCATTTGGCTATTTGTTGTAAATTGATTTTATATCGATATAAAAATATTTCTTAAATTTTGTTTTGTGCTTTTGTAAACTTATTATAAATTATTTTTATAAACTATATAGGTGATAAACAATAGGCTGGTAAAACATCAGCTTACAAGGACTGGACCTAAGTCTAGTTAGCGGTTTGGCCTTGGCGTCAATCAATTAGCCAGGACAAGCAATTTAAAATATTTAGAAGATATATTCGTAAGGAAGTAAGGATTTATGCAAAGAAAATGAATTTTAACATAAAGTATTATTTTGAATCTCCTGATAAAGCAAGGAAACAACCTGTTCAATTACCATGTTAAACCAGCGGAGATTTTACTAAGAGATTACGCTGTACCAGTTAACAATCTGTGCAGTATAATCTATTATATATAATTATCTTTTATACAGAAACGATTATGATTAAAGTACATATATAGCTAGAGTATAAGTAAAGCTAGTTTTTGTATTCTTAGGTAGTTTTAATAGACTTATGCCCGATTTCACCAACTTCACCTAAGTTTAAGGGATCCCCTAAGCATGGTTAGGGGTCTGTTAGGGGACAGCTTTTGTTTCACCTTCAGTTAGGGGTTACCTAAATATTAAAAGGCTCCCTAAATTTAGGTGCTCGAAATATGGGCTAAAAGACGTAAAACGATCGTAAAACGAAATTTAATTTAGGGGCTAGTTTATTGGACTTTTAAGCTAGGGATCCCATACGTAGGTGGTAGCTTATGGGTTGTTGGTGAAATCGGGCATTAGTATATTTTATAATTAATTAATATTATAAATAGTTTTTCTGGACATATTTATGTGTCTCATTTACAGTTCAAAAGAATTTTCAATATAATATTAAAATTAATTGGAACGTGAGAACATTTCTCTAACCCAAATTAGGAAGTGAAGTTTACCTTACACGCTTTTCATTAACGGAACGAGGTTAAATTGTTCTAGACATATGTAAAGTGAATAAATGTTGTTTAGAGGTAATTGAAGGTCAGCCATTAAGCTTCTAATTTAGTTTGATAGGCTTTTGACGGCTTTATGACGCTTTCATTTTTATACGAGCGTACGTACTTTGATGGCAACTTTTAATTCAATTTTTAATTTATATATGCTTTTTCTTTATTGTTTTTTTATTCTATATTATTATTATTTTTTATTATAAAATTATACTACATAATCTATACATATAATAAAATTAATGTATAGATTATGTAGTATAATTTAATATTTAAATAATGATTAAGCTGAATCTGTACATTAACTATTCTTTGGAAAATCTTATTGAAATAAACATTATTATCGATACAGAGGCCGAATCTATAGTTTTTAAAATTTTTGTCTGTCTGTCTGCTACCGCATCACAGGAAAACCACTGGATGGATTTTGATGAAATTTGGTATGGTTATAGCTGGTTATCCGGGTCAACATACACTTTTTACCGCGGGAAAATATCTCATTTCTGAGAAAAAATACAAAAACTGTAATGTAAGAATATACTAACATGTAAAACCTAAGAATTTCATTTTTGGTCATCTGAACGCGGGCGGAGCCGCGGGCAATGCTAGTAATATAATAAAACAGCCGTTTTTAATGTTTCAGTGCGGGATATGGGCCTCCACGGAGCATAGTCCAAAAGACTGGGTAATTACTAATTAGGTTGATGGACACTACACGTCGTTCGAGAAATGGTTCTCAGACATGAAGGGTTCCTCTCAATGGTTTACATGATCCAAAAACCAATTAGAAATAATCGTGTAGAAAATGATTCGTCCATGTAAATTACAGAGGTGTGAGAGAAGTTTTGACGCCACTTCAAATAGCTTCACAAACGAGCTCGTTACGAGTGGGCTACCACTGCTTAAACAATTAACAAGCCCCTTTTTGTGTGTATTTATAACGATACAATAGCCATCCAGATTGTATCTCACTAAATAAATTATAAGATAGAAAGAATGTTGAGGGTTGTGCTTATTGAGTGTTGCTATATCAAATAAAAAGTACCTAAATAAATAATAAAAAATGAAATTTGAAAGATTAATTCTTAAAGTAGCATTCTTGATGATAATAATAATAATAAGTTCTTTATTTCCAAAAGGTAGTAAGTACATCCAGATATTTGCTTAACACTTACTAAATCTAATTTGGTACATACAAATATTTAAAACATAGCATCTGCAGCCGAACTAGGAGACCTGTGCATCAGCTGTCAGCGCCATATCCCCACGGTTAGGTGACATAAATATTACCAAAAAAAAAAAATACATATCAACTAAAGATATTAATTAATATTACTAAATATGTCATTCCTCTCTCTTAAGATGTGTAATGCATGACTGTAAGAAGTATTTGTGTAATGAGTGTAATGTGTGTGAGCAATTAAAGGAGAGGAGTGTGTAATGTGTGTCTGTGTATGTGTGTGTGTGTGTGTGTGTGTGTGTGTGTGTATGCGCGTGTGTGTGCCTGGGTATTATTATTTTACATAGGTAATATTGCAGGATCAAGTTATATAATAAATATTATGATCAGATATGAATACTAAGAAGGTTTTCAGTTTCAATATAAGTTAATTTTTGCAGGTAATCAAATACAGTTTTTTTACAGTCTATTTTATTAAGGTAGTAAATGTCTAATGTTTTATTTAGTTTATTATATAA